CGCCCCAGCTACCGCCTCCCCGACCCTGCTCTCCAGGCAGCCTTGCTGGCAGCGCTCCTGCCTCCCTCCCCCTCCCTGGGCTCAGGGCCGCCTCCCCTTCTTCCCTTCCTCCTGGCTCTCCCTTCCCTCCCCGTCCCTGGCTGAACTCCCCCTCCCTTCCTCTCTCCTCCTCTTTTCCTTCCTCCCCTCCCTCCCCCTCTCTGCCTTTCTCCCCCACCCCGCTCTCCCCTCCTCCCCTCTCCGGTTTCCTTCCTTCTCTGCTCAGCTCTTCTCGGTTACCTTCCCCTCCCCTTGTCCCTCCCCTCCTCTATGTCCTCCCCCTCCCGCAGCTCTTCCCCTCCCTCCGAAGCTCCCACTCCCTTCCCCCCTGCCTCCCCAGCAGGCTCCGACTTCCCTTCCCTCCCTCCCCTCGTCCCCTCCCCCTTCAGTCCGTTCCCCAAGCTGTCTCCTTGTTCCCCTGCCCCCAGCACAGGGTGTAAGCTCCGTGCTCACTCTAGACCCCCTCTCTGGCCTTGTTCTCCCGCCCCTGCTTCGTCTTGAAACCCCTTTCTCCACTCCACACCTTCCCCATTTCTGCTCCCCACTGACTTCCCCACCCCCCCAAGTTTTCTTCCCGACCAGACCCCTCCCCTCCCACCTCCAGCCTCAGTTTGTTCCTAGCCCCTCAGCACTGAGGCTCAGTACACGCCTCGGGGCCCCCTCCCCTGCCCCTGGGCTCACCTGTCAGCACTCCCTACTCCCGCCCCGCCCAACCGCCCCACGCCCTGGGCGCCGGGTTCCCTTCCCTTCCCCCTCGCTCCCCTTCTCCCCGCCTCTCGTGAGACCCTCCCTCTCCTTTCTGCGGACTGTCCCCTGCCCCCTCTCCTCAGCCCCTGCCCCGCCCCAGCCTGTCCCTCCCTCCATAGTCCCTGCCCTTCCCCCCCGTTCTTGCCCGGTCCCCCTCCGCTCCCAGCTCCCTACCCAGGCTGTCACCCGTGGAGCGGACAGGCGACGCCGTGCGGTGTCGGGGGCGTGGAGACGTCTGCAGCCCAGAGCCCCTGGCCCCACCTGGCGGGATGGCCGCGTGTCCCCCGGGACCCGGGCGCCAGGCCTCCTGCCCCGCTGTGCCTGCTCGCGACGCAGCTCGGGTGCGGGCTCCCGGCCCAACCGACAGACTGACAGCTCCGAAACTTCGCGGGAGGGAGAGGAAAAGACGGGAGGGGCCGAGGAAGCGGGAGGGGCCGCAGGCGCCCGGCCGGGGTGCGGGGCGGGGGGGAGAGGGAGGGCGGGTCTCCAGGATGGGCTCGCCGAGGGCGGAGCGGGCGAGGTGGGCAGGTGCCGGCTGGAGGGACGACGCCCACGAGTGGGTGCTGGAGCCGAGAGCTGGCGGGTGGGCGCCGGGTGGGGGAGAGGGAGGGAGGGGTGCAGGCACCGCGAGGAGGAGCCTGGTAGAGGTGGAGGGCGGGCAGAGGGAGGGGGGAGAGAGAGGGACGCATTTTGGGGGAGGGTCCGCGTCGCGGGCTTTGAGTGGCAGGCGCCGGTCTGGGTGTCCGCGCCGTCGGTCTCGGAAACCCCTGCCCCGCCCTCCGCCCGGATCACCGCTGGACCCCCTCTCAGACCCGCACGCTCTGCCGGGACTCCCGCGCCGGATCTGGGAACGGGCGGGGGAGCGGGGCCAGACGTGCTGCTACCGGGGGAGGGAGCTTGGGGCCCTTGTGTGGCAAGGGGCTGGAACCGGGTGCCCCGGGCAGGCTGGTCTGGAGAGGAGGCCCGGCGTCGGGCTGGGGTTGGCTGGGCGGCTGGGCCGAGACTCTGCGGGCGCGTCCGGGAGGGACTGCGGGGGGGGGGGTTCAGGGCGAGGGGAGGGTCGGGAGGGGTCCCCTGGCCCGAATTTGGTTCCTCAGGGGACTCCGGGATCTCCATCCCTGCCCCGATAACGCTGTTCCTGTCCGGCCCTGCGTCCTGCCAGGGAGTGAGGCGCGGGACCCCGATCCGGGAGGGAGGCTGGCAAATGGCCCTGAGGGCGACCAACCCCCATCCCCACCCCCACCCCCGGGCACTACCCCATCTTAAGCGTGTGGACACCTGGGCAGTCAGGGAGAAATGCCGACAGAGGCCACCGTGAAGGCACCTGGCAGGTGCTCAGCCCCTGTTGGCTGATGGTCAGAGCTGGAGAGGGAGGCCCAGTTCTCCACCCTCGGTGACGGGTGGGGCCTGGGGGCAGATGAGTCACAGGGGTGAGCGCCTGTGCTGCAGTGAGCGCTGCGATGGGAGTGTGAACACATGTGGGGGCATGAAGCGGAGCATGTCAGGATGAGAGACTGCAAGAGGGTGTGTGTGAAAGGAACTGTTTTCAAGAGAGTGAGTGTGTGTGCATGTGACAGAGTGTGTGTGAGTGAGCTGGTATGTATGTAAGGGAATGGGCGTGAGTGTGTGAGGCCATGTGAGGCAGCTTTGCATGGGAGTGTGCAAGGAAGCATTACAGGTGTGTGTTGTGCAAGGGAGTGTGTACCAGTGTGAGCATGGTAAGGGAGTGTGTGTGTGAGAATGTGAAGGGAAAATGGATGTGAGCATGTAGGAGGGAGTGTGTGTGAATGTGCATGGGAACATGTGAGTGTGGGGATTGTAGATGTGAGCATGTGTGAGGGAGGGTGTGCGGGTGTGAGCATGTGTGAGGGAGTGTGTGCGGGTGTGACCATGTGTGAGGGAGCATGTGCTAGTGTGAACCTGTGCAGGTGTGAACAGGTGTGATGGAGTGTGTGCGGGTGTGAGCATGTGTGAGGGAGTGTGTGCGCGTGTGAGGATGTGTGAGGGAGTTGTGCGGGTGTGAGCATGTGTGAGGGAGCAGGTGCAAGTGTGAGCATGTGGGTGTGAACGTGTGAGGGAGCAGGTGCAAGTGTGAGCATGTGTGAGTGTGAGTGTGTGTGAGGGAGCATATGCAGGTGTGAGCGTGTGTGAGGGAGCATATGCAGGTGTGAGCGTGTATGAGGGAGCAGGTGTGAGTGTGAGCATGTATGGGTATGAATATGCGTGAGGGAGCGTGTGCAGGTGTGAGTGTGGGGGGAGCGTGTACAGGTGTTAGGGTGTAAGGTATGAGCATGTGCAAGGGAGTGTGTGGGGGGATCATGTAGCAGAGTGCATAGATGACAGAGAGCCAAGGAGTGACTGCAGTCCCAGCCCAGGGCAGACCCTTCTCCAGGATGCTCCAGGGAGGCCGATACTGAGGGGCTCACTTGGAAGAGGTGGGCCAGGACCATGGTGGGCCCAGGAGTGGAAGGCCCAGCCCAGCTCTGGGATGCCTGTGGGGTGCTGAGACATCAAGCTTTGCTATGGGGGTGGTGAGGCCCAGGCCGCATTCCAGGCTGGTGTCCTTGTAGCTTGGCAGTGCCTGGTAACCCGGATGTAACCAGGATGTCCCTGTGGAGCCTGTGCTGTCCCCTCCCCACCGGACGCTGGGATTATCCATTCCGGCTCAGGGCTCAGCCGTGGACTCTGAAGGTCCCTCTGCTCCCCCGTCACCACCGCAGGCACCTCTCTGGAGGCTTCCTATGTTCCCCAGCCCAGGCTCCTGGCTCTAGGCCCCAGGGAGGCGGGAGACTCGCTATGGAGGTCAGAGCCTCCAGAGGAAAGTGCCCGTAGCCCACCTGTCCCTGCACACATAGCCTCTTGGCTCCTTTCCAGAGCGCTGATGGGAAGAGGGGCAGGAGGAGGCCAGAGAAAGGGAAGGGGAGGGCGTCATAAAGTCAGAACTTCAGGTTTGGAGCCCAGTGACTTGTTACCCTTTTGTGGGGCCTCAGCCCCCTTGAGAATCTACTAAAATACTATGAACTGTTTCAAAAAGTTCTGTGCACACACAACCTAAAAGTATTAGGGTGCCCTGAGTTCCCTGCATGTGTTACCGGAAGGTAGGGAAACCGAGACCCAGGAGGGTGGTGACTCTCAGAGGCTCAGTGTCTGGTCTTGGCCTGGCACACGCCCTCCTCCCTCTCTCTCTCTCTGTCACACACACACACTCCCCGAAGGGCAGGATGGGGCTCCCCCTGAGAAGGGGCATATCCAATCTGGTTCCCGGCAGATGGTGCCAGGGGCGTGAGGCTGGGATAAAGCCTCCCAGCCCGAGGACCGAGCTCACTGCCCACCTCAGGCTGACCACATACCGACCATTGGACTAGAGTACCTGGGTGTGCAGGCAGGGCAGCGCATTGCCTCTCCTGAGGCCCAAGCCTCACGTCCCCCTCATCCTCAGATAGTTGGGGCACCATGCTGCTCCTGGCCCTGCTCTTCATGGTGGCCTGGGCAGTGGCTGGCGGGTAAGCACCCCACCCCAGGCCCTCCTGTCCCTGACCAGGGCTTGCTGGAGCAGCCATACCCCCTCCCACCCCTCTCTCCCAACGTCAACCCCCTCCTCAGTTGAGCAGCCCATCCTCGGATGGAGACCCAGGGTGGGAAAGGGGGGACAGCAGGCACCCATCCCCACAGGCGGTGGTGTGAGCAGACGGAGACTGTCTGGGTGGAGGAGTTGGTGACACCCCGCCAGGAGGACCTGGTGCCCTGTGCCAGCCTATACCACCACCTCCAGCTGGGCTGGCACCTGGGCCCGTCCCGGAGGGCTCACACCAGGCTCACCTCCGACCCTAGGCTCTGCCCCATCTACAGGTGAGTGGAGCGCAGACCCTGGGCTGTCTGAGGGAAGGAGGGGAGTGGGCCAGTGCCTCGGTGGTGGTGAGGGCTGGGCCACCGCCTAGTGTGGGGCTGCCTGCCATGGATGCAGGAGCCGGAATCACGGACTACAGGAAGGCAGAGCAGGAGGCCAAGAGATCATCTCGTCCAGACTTCGCGCTTTGCAGAGGGGGACTCAGGGCCAAATTAGGGTCAGAGGGGCAGAACAGTGACCAAACCACACAGCCTGCCCTGTGGCTTCTGGGCGGGCACTAACATCTCTTCTCCCTCCACCTGCTCCATGGCCCAGGCCCCCAGAAACCCGGCCGGCAGCCCGGACCCGCACCGTGAGGGCTTGCTGCCCAGGCTGGGGGGGTGCCCACTGCTCCCTGGGTAAGCTTGAGCTTTGGGGTCCTGGATGGGGGAGTCCACCCAGACCTGAGGTTTTCTGGAGGTGCCAGGCTGCACCCACCCCATGCCTGGGTCACTAACCTCTTCTCCTCCAGCCATCACAGCCCTTGGAGGAGCCAGCCCCAGTGGCCACTGCTTTGCCACGGGGCAGTGCCGGCTGTGGGCAGGTGTGGTCCACGCGCCAGCAGGAAGCCTGGAGGAGTGCTGTGCCCGGGTCTGGGGGCACAGCTGGCGGGATGGCAGCTCCCAGGCCTGCATCCACTGCTCCGGCCAGTCCCCCCAAGGTGGGTGCAGACCCTGTGCCCACTCCGCCCACCCCTAGGCCCTCCTGGGGCACCTGCTCTGTCCCCTGCCCACCAAGGGGCCTGCATCCTCTCTTGTGCCCACTCAAGAGAGGCCTGGTGCCCCCACCCTACAGTCAGATGCTCACAGCAGTGCCCCTCCTCAGGCAGTACCCGCACCCTAGCCCCCCTGCAGCCACGGGCAGGGGCCGTGGGCCAGCTCTGGAGCCAGCGCCAGCACCCCTCGGCCACCTGCGCCACCTGGTCGGGCTTCCACTACCGCACCTTCGACGGGCGACACTTCCACTTCCTGGGCCGCTGCACCTACCTGCTGGCGGGCGCGGCTGACTCCAGCTGGGCAGTCCACCTGCTGCCCGGGGGACATTGCCCCCAGCCTGGGCACTGCCAGCTGGTGAGGGGAGGAGGGTGGGCGGACATGGGGGGCTGGGCGTGGAGAGGGATCCCGCCGACCCCTCTCTGCACATCTCCCGAGGTCCGGGTGACAATGGGGCCAGAGGAGGCGCTGATTCAGGGTGGCAACGTCTCTGTGAATGGGGTGCCAGTCCCCAAAGAGGAGCCCCAGATGCTCCACGGTAAGGGAGTGTGGGGGCTGGGGAGGGCAGCTGGGGACGGAGGCCACCGCCCCCCACCAATCACCTCACTGTACGATTCGGCAACTCCCTCTGCCTAACCTCTCTGAGCCTCAGTTTCCCCCTGCTGCCCGTTCAGTGCAGCCATTTCTGACTCACGGGGGTGTTTTGAGGAAGCCTCTTTGATAGCTGGTGGGAAGGTTCCAGTACCACAGCAATCTTCCTGGTTGGGACCCGCAGGGTAAGGTGGGGTCAGCAGGTGCTTGTGTGTGAAGTTAGGGTGTGTGTGTGGTGTGAAAGCGTGTGAGATTGTGTGTGTTGTGTGTGTGTGCGTGTGGGAGGTTGTCCGTGGTGTGTGTGTGAGAGGGTGTGTGTGTATGGTGTGTTGAGTGTGTGTGAGAGTGTGTGTGTGAGACAGTGAGTGTGTGTGAAGTTGTGTGTGTGAGGGTGTGCATCATAGTTGACTTGAACTTTTCTCTCTCAAGAGTCTATATTTCCATGAGCCTCTCAGAGAACACCATGAGGGATAGAAGCTCTGCTTTAGTCTGAAGTGCCAGGAGCACTAGGGTTGTGAGCATTTCCTTCTCTCTCCCCTCCGGTGGCGTGGGATGGGTTGGGAAGTGCGAGGCCTCCTTCCCGCAGGGATGAGTCTGCAGTGGCAGGGGGACTGGCTGGTGCTGTCGGGGGACCTGGGGGTCATCGTGCGGCTGGATGGGGCCGGCTCTGTGTCCATTTCCCTGGACCCTGGGCTCCAGGGGCAGACGCGAGGCCTGTGCGGGCTCTACAACGACCAGCCGGAGGGTGAGTGCAGTGTGGGTGGGGCTGGCGTGGAGGGCCGGGTGGACAACCCCAGATCCAGCGTCCTGCCTCGCTGCCTGTCCTTAGATGACTTTTTGGAGCCAAGCGGGGGGCTGGCTGTGTTAGCTGCCACCTTTGGGAATTCCTGGAGGCTCCCTGACTCTGAGGTGAGACCGAGCCCCACCCTCGTTCTTAGACACAGAATCCCAGCTCCTGCACCCTGAGCGTCTGCTCCCCTAGGTTCACATGGACCAGTCTCTGCCAACCCTTGGGGAGACAAGCAGGGTCCCCAACTGCTGCTGTGAATCAGGGGGAGGGGCAAATGAGCCGGTTGTCTGACCCCTGACGCGGGCTGATTGGGACCCTCTGCCCTTTCCTGCCCCTCCGTGGCCACCTTGCTGCCCTCTCACCCAGGGTGTCTGGGGAGCCTCGGCGGGTATGTGAGGGTGGGTCACCTGCTCGGTGCCCTGGTTTGTTCCCTCACCCTACCCTGGTGCCTGCCGCCAACTGTCTCCAGCCTGGGTGTGTGGACGCCACAGAGGCTGCTCCGGTCTGCACGGGGCCCCTGGGGGACATGGAGGAGGCATCCCAGCTGCGGGCTGAGGCCCAGGACGTGTGCCACCTCCTCCTGAGTGGTCCTTTCAGAGAGTGCCACATCCAGGTACGGGGCGGGAGGACGAGGGGGCCAGTGGGGTGGGAGGCCTCATCCTGATGGTGCTGCATGTGATGGTCACGGCATCCCCTCAAGAGAAACAGCAAGAAGTCCTGATGCGACAGAGCCAGGGCTCCTGGGGGGCTCCTGGGGTTGGAGGCAAGCCATGCGCCCTCTTGCTCCACTCCAGGTGGCCCCCACCGGGTACCATGAGGCTTGTCTCTTCGCCTACTGTGCGGGCGCGCCAGACAGCAAGCAGGCAGGGCGGCGGGAGGCCGTGTGTGCCACCCTGGCCAGCTACACCCGGCACTGCGCCCGGGAGGGCATCCATGTCCGGTGGAGAAAGCCTGGCTTCTGCGGTTAGGCCTGGCCCCCATCCCACACCCACCCCTCCCCGCCTACTTCCTGAGGGCATGGCCACCCCAAGCGCCCTCCCTGCGGCCCTCTTAGGCTGGCCCGGGGGTGGCCCCAGGAGGAGGTGGGTGCAGGTGGGCGCAGATGGGTAGAGGTGGGAGAAAACTGGCAGAGGTGGGCTCAGGTGAACAGAGGTGGCTGGAAGTGGCAGGAGGTGGATGCAGGTGGACACAGGTGGGTGGAGGTGGAAGGTGGGCAGAGCTTATGTTCCCCTACCCCCCCCCCCACCTGCCCACTGAATGCCTTTGCCCCGGGGGAGGGTCCCCCAGCCTCAATCCCCCACCCACCCACAGAACACCTGTGCCCCAGGGGAGGGTCCCACAGCCTCACTCACCGCCCCTAAACAGAACGCCTGTGCCCTGGGGGCCAGCTCTACTCGGACTGTGTGTCCTCCTGCCCACCCAGCTGCTCGGCCGTGGGCGAGGGCGGGCAAGGGTCCTGCCAGGAGCAGTGTGTGAGCGGCTGCGAGTGCCCCCCCGGCCTGTACTGGGATGGCACGTTTTGTGTGCCCCCTGCCCAGTGCCCCTGCTACCACCGGCGCCAGCGCTATGCCCCGGGGGATACCGTGCACCAGCTGTGCAACCCCTGGTGGGTCTCAGGCTTGGCCTGCCCTGGGGTGGGGGGCACGGCTCCCCTCCCCACACTGCCTCCCCCACCTGGGGCCTCCTTCACAAGTGAGCCCTGACTTATGGCCTAGGTTATGACCCTGGTGGCCTCCAGCAGGTGCCTTCAGCCCTGGAGGGGGGGTGGGACAGGGCCGAGGGTGGGTGGGCCGGGGCTGGGCTGGCACGAGGTCACCCTCTACTGTGTGCCTGCAGTGTGTGTCAGGACGGCCGCTGGCACTGTGCCGAGGCCCCGTGCCCGGCCCAGTGCGCCGTTGGCGCTGATGGACACTACCTCACCTTTGATGGGCGGAGCTTCTCCTTCAGGGGCAACAGAGGCTGCCGCTACAGCCTGGTGCAGGTGGGCAGAGAGCAGTGAGAGTGTGTGCGTGGGGGGCTGGTGAGGCCTGGCGCAGGTGGGCAGAGGGCAGTGGGAGTGTGTGCTTGGGGGAGTGGTGAGGCCCCATAGAGCAAGGTTCCACACTCAGGCCTCGGTCTGGGCCACCATAGACCTCTCCATCTTTGTCCCACCCCCACCTGTCCTCCCTGTCTGCCTAGGATCACGTGAAGGGGCAGCTGCTGATTGAGCTGGAGCATGGGGCCTGTGAGTCCGGGAGCTGCCTCCATGCCATCTTGGCCTCCCTGGGGGGGACCCACGTCCAGCTCAAGGACTCAGGTAACCTCACTCTGCCTCCCCCACGTCCACTGGGCTCCTGCCGCCAGCCCTCAGACCTCAGGGGTGCAGCTCAGGCCCAGGTGGCCTCCGGCCCCTCCCCGATCCCCAGCCCTGTCCCCACCTCCCTGTGTCTCTGAGCTGAACCCCAGACCCCTTTGCACAGAGCTCACAGCCTCGGCTCCCCCTCCAGTCTCTGAAGCAGACTCCTGTGGGGAGTCCGAGACACCCCTGTGCCTCTCTTCAGGGGGAGGGCAAGACACCACTAGTAAGGTGCTAGGGGCCTCACAGCGCGACCCGTGCAGCGCGGGGAACCACACCATCTTCCACCCTCTGCCCCGGCCTCTCCGCCCAGCTCCGCCTACTTTCAGACTGCAAAGGGGAAGGCAGAGGCAAAATGGGCGCAGGGGTGGTCTTGGGGCCATGGAGGCTTGCTAGGACTGGTGACCTCAGGAACCTCCTGTTCCAGGTGCCGTCCTGGTGGATGGGCAGGAGGTGGCTGTGCCCTGGCATGGTGCTGGGGACCTCAGCGTCTCCCGAGCCTCCTCCAGCTTTCTGCTGCTGCGCTGGCCAGGGGCCCGGGTCCTCTGGGGGGTGTCTGACCCCTCGGCCTACATCACTCTGGAGCCCCGCTATGCCTACCAGGTATGCTGGGAGGGGTGAGTGGTGGCCAGCCTGGGGGCCAGCTCTGACTGCCATGCCCACCTGCCCCAGGTGCAGGGTCTGTGTGGCACCTTCACCTGGAACCAGCAGGACGACTTCCTGACCCCTGTCGGGGACGTGGAGACCAGCGTTGCTTCCTTCACCAGCAAGTTCCAGGTGGCAGGTGTGGGGAAGTGCCCCCCTGGGGACGCTGCACTGTCGCACCCCTGCAGTACCCACACCCAGCGCCGCCCCTTCGCGGAGGCGGCCTGCACCGCCCTGCATGACCCAGCCTTCCAGGTAGCAGGGTGGGGCTCCTCCATCTGTACAAGCTCCAAGGGCATGGGGGTCCGTGGAGGGGGAGCTGACCCATTTCTTGGACTCTAGAAGTGCCACGGTCTGGTGGACAGGGAGTCGTACTGGCTGCGCTGCCTGGCAGCCGTTTGCGGCTGCACCTTGGGGGAGGACTGCCTGTGCCCCCTGCTGGCAGCCTATGCCCGCCACTGTGCCCAGGAGGGCGCCCTGCAGTCCTGGAGGAGCCAGACCCTCTGCCGTGAGTGCTTCTCTGCCTGCCCGCAGCCCCTTCCCCTGGCCCCCTTCCAGTGGAGTCTCTGGAGGACCTCTGCCGTCATGTCGGGAGGGGTCTGCAGGGGTGGAAGAGCTGGCCGTGCCATGCCCTGACCTGTCTGTGTCCCCTGCCCAGCTGTCACATGTCCCGGTGGCCAGGAGCACCAGGAGTGTGCCCCGGCATGCGGCCGAAACTGCGGGGAGCCTGAGGACTGTGTGGGACTGGGCGTCTGTGTGTCTGGATGTAACTGCCCCCCAGGGCTACTGTGGGACCCCGCAGGCCAGTGTGTGCCCCCCAGCCTGTGCCCTTGCCAGCTGGGAGCCCAGCGCCATGCTCCTGGCAGCACCACCATGAAGGACTGCAACCGCTGGTGAGGGTCTCGGCCTCTGAATGGAGGGAAGAATCGAGGTGAAGGAGGCAGCTGCAAGAAAGGGGTCAGGCTGTGTCTCCCTGGGGCCTCAGCATGAGCTCAGGGATGATGGTCACACCTTCAGGTCCTAGATGCACTTTCATACACCTACTTAGACACGGTGAAGTGGGGAGTGGGAGAGTCAGTCTCACGCTACAGAGTAGGAAACCTAGTGGTGAGGGGCTGGGCCAGACCCCGGAGGTCCTGCTGGGGTGTCCCAGGCTCTGCTGAGGGTGTTACAGACCCAGGCCTGGGGTGAGTGAGGGCTGTGGTGAATGCCCTTTGCTGGGCTGGGCATGGGGTGTGGGACACCTCCACCCACTCCTGGAGCTGGAGAAGGGCACTTTGGAGCCAAGGAAGGAAGAGGGACCCGTCAGGGCTGGATCTCACTTAGTGTCAGGGGACCTGGATGCACAGGCCTCTGAGGCTCCCCCACATCAGACCAGACCCTGGCCCTGACCCCTCCAACCTCCACAGTGTTTGCCAGGAAAGGGGCATCTGGAATTGCACGGCACACCGCTGCTCCCCACGGCAGGTGTTCTGTCCTCGTGGGCTCATCCACGTCCCTGGCGCCTGTCTGCTCACCTGTGACAGCTCCAGTGCCAACCACACCTGCCCCATGGGCAACACCAAAGGCTGTGTCTGCCCCCCTGGCACCGTGCTGCTGGTGAGGCTGGAGAGGGGCTGCATGGGGTTGCCCCCAGCTTCTGCCTGGCAGCCCTTCCAGCTCCCCCTCCCCCATTTCCACCCAGGACGAGCGCTGTGTGCCCACCGAGCATTGCCCCTGCCGTCACAGTGGGCGGTGGTACCCGCCCAATGCCACCATCCAGGAAGACTGCAACGTTTGGTACGCCGAGGCCTTGTGCCTCGCAGCCCTGTGACTTGTGACCCCGCTCCCAAAGTGTCATTCTCCTGAACCTCATCTTTCCCTTGGAAGAGGCTGGAGTGGTAGGGGGCGTCCGGCCTGGGCAGTGAGCGTGTTGGAGCCCCGGTGGGGCCAGCGGGAACCCTCGGAATCCTGGACACAGCCCAGGCCTGTCCTTGCTGACCCTGCCCCTCTCCCTCCCTGCCCGCAGCGTGTGCCAGGGCCAGCGGTGGCACTGCACGCGTCATCAGTGCGGGGGTCACTGCCAGGCCTCAGGCGCCCCCCACTATGTCACGTTTGATGGGCTGGCGATGACCTTCCCCGGGGCCTGCGAGTACCTGCTGGTGCGAGCGGTTGACGGCCAGTTCTCCGTGTCAGCTCAGAACCTGCCCTGTGGGGCCAGTGGCCTCACCTGCACCAAGGCGCTGAGCCTACAGCTGGAGGGCACCATTGTGCACCTGCTCAGAGGTGCCTGTGGTCCCAGAGGGTGGGCATGGCTGGGCAGGCACAACCGCAGTGCCCTTCCCTAGTCTTGGGGACCCTAATTCTGGAAGACTCCAGGAAATCAAGACCCCAAGGGGCCCATAATTTGCCTGGGGTTCTGTAGCTGGAGAAGCAAAAGAAAGGCTCAGCAGAGGCTAGGAAGAGCCTCGGGGGTCTGGGTGTGCCTCCTCCATCCCCAGCCTTGATGCTGCTTACTCCTCCGCAGGCCGGGCCGTGACAGTGAATGGGGTGCCCATCTCACCCCCCAAGGTCTACACAGGCCTCGGGCTGAGCCTGCACCGCGCTGGCCTCTTCCTGGTGCTCAGCACTCGTGTGGGCCTCAGCCTGCTCTGGGATGGAGGTCAGGCCCCACCCTGACCCCACTGATCCTCCCCCCCTGCTCTGGCACCCTGGGCTTGAGTGAAGGCCCTGACTCCCAACCGGGCCATCCGTCTCCTGGCGGCCTCAGTGCTGGCATGGGGGTCCCAGCAAGGCTGGCCCAGACCCTGCCTCTTCCCTCTACCTCCCGCCCCAGCTCCCCCTGCCCACACAATCACGCAGGTGGCTGGAGGTCCCAAATTGTGTTTTTATAATTGTAAATGTTTTCCTTCATTATGAAAACAATACTTGCTCACCAAAGAAACATTTAGAAAATACCAAGTTTGAGAAAGAAGTGAAAATAAATCTAACACCCCACCAACCAAACAGCAGTTGGCATTTTGGAAATAACTGTGACAGAAATTAATGGAAATGGCAGAACCCCGTCAGGCAGAGTGTCGGGAGGCCTGCAGCGGACTTTGTCCTGAGGCCCCAAGACTGACTGCTTTCGGAATCTGGCAGCCTGGCTCTAGCTAGGAAGTAGGCGCCCACTTCTCCCCCGACCCCCAAAACACTGCTCTCTCCACTTATCACCCTGACGCGGACACCAGCCTTGTGGGTAAAGCAGCAGATGTGACAGCCCCGCCCAGAGAAGGCCCTGCCGCCCTCCCCCCAGGCACCCGGGTGCTGGTGCACCTGCCCCCTCAGTTCCGCGGCCGCGTGGCGGGGCTGTGCGGAGACTTCGACGGAGATGCCAGCAACGACCTGAGGAGCCGCCAGGGCGTTCTGGAGCCCACGGCGGAGCTGGCCGCCCATTCCTGGCGCCTCCGGCCCCTCTGCCCCGAGCCTGGAGACATGCCGCATCCCTGCACCGTGAGGGACTCGGGCAGGGGGCCAGGGGCTGGCGGGGGGCTTCAAGGGCGCCCAGGAGCTAGGGGGCCCTGGCCATCTACAGAAGCCAAGAACAACTGTGCCCCGCGCCCTGCAGGTGAATGCCCACCGGGCCGAGTGGGCCCGGGCTCGCTGCGGGGTACTACTGCATTCTCTCTTCGCCGCCTGCCACGCGGAGGTGCCTCCGCAGACGCACTACGAGCAGTGCGTGTACGACGCCTGCGGGTGAGGAGAGAGCACCCAGCGGCGGGAGCGGGGTGAAGGCGGGGTGTGGGTTGTGGGCGGGGCTGAATCTGGGAGGCGGGGTCTGCTGAGGGTGGAGAGGGTGTGGGGCGTGCTCTGGGTCCTGGAGCCGGTCTGGGGGCGGGGGCGGGGCTGAGCGGGTAGGAAGGGCAGGGCCTGGGGCTGGGCCAGAGCCGGCGTGTAGGTGGGGCAGGGCTTTCTGAGTTAAGCCCCTCTCCCCACAGCTGCGACTCTGGGGGCGACTGTGAGTGTCTCTGCTCGGCCATCGCCACCTACGCGGATGAGTGCGCTCGGCGCGGACATCGCCTGCGCTGGCGCAGCCAGGAGCTCTGCCGTGAGTGCCGCCAGCTGCTTTCGCCGTGAAGGCGGTCAACAGCATGCGCTCGCCACGTGCCACACACTTTCGAGATAAACAAAACATGCAGAATGGCTGCCCCTGTGGAACTTGCATGTTACAAATGGCTTGGGCGGGGGGTTTCAAGGAGGGTCTGCGCCAGGTACCCTCTTTGCAGGGACTGCACAAACATCGCTTTGTGCTGGCTCCCCGGTGCCCTGAGCCTCTGTGACCCAGGCCTCTTTCCCCCTAGCCCTGCAGTGCGAAGGGGGCCAGCTGTATGACGCCTGTGGCCCCACGTGTCCCCCCACCTGCCGTGACCGGGCTCCTGAGCCCGGGTGGCACTGCCAGGTGGCTGCCTGCGTGGAGGGCTGCTTCTGCCCCGAGGGGACCCTGCTGCACGGTGCGGAGATGGGGAGGGGCAAGGAGAGGGGCGGCCCAGGTGGGAGAGGGCCCAGGCCACCATCCCATGCTGGATGGCAGCCTGCACGGTTTTGCTCTGAGCCCTGCCCTCTGTGACCGCAGGCAGCACCTGCCTGGAGCCCGCCTCCTGCCCCTGCGAGTGGGGGGGCAGCTTCTTCCCACCGGGGGCCGTGCTGCAGAAGGACTGCGGGAACTGGTGAGTGGGGGTGCCTCAGGGCGAGCTCTGTGCTCATGGGCCCAACCCGGTGCTGACCCCCAGACATCATGTGCTCAGCACGTGCCAGGACAGTCGGTGGTACTGCGGGGCGGGCCGTCCCAACTGTGAGGAGCCGGTGCCCAGTTGTGCAGAGGGAGAGGTCCCTTGCCGGGAGAATGGGCACTGTGTGCCCCGCGGCTGGCTCTGTGACAACCAAGACGACTGTGGTGATGGCTCAGACGAGGAAGGTGAGTGATGCAGTCTGTCCATGTACAGTAGCCGAGTTTATTGGAGAGAAAGCGTCTGTCCCTGGGAGGCTCACTGAAGCTGCCCCTTCCTAGGAGTCATGATTTGCAGGGGTGGGCAGACTGGTGGGGCATTCTGACCTTTCCCGCTATGAGGGCCTATGGGACCTTGCGTCAGTGCTCTTAGTCCACCTACTTGTCCCGTGTCAGGCTGTGCCACCCCAGGCTGTGGGGAAGGGCAGTTCTCCTGCAGCTCCGGCCGATGCCTGCCCATGGCTCTGCGCTGTGATGGGCAGGACGACTGTGCCGACGGGGCGGACGAGCAGGGCTGCCCATGCCCCCAGGAATCTCTGGCCTGTGGTGACGGGCACTGCCTGCCCCTGACGCTGCTCTGCGATGGGCACCCCGACTGTCCAGACGGCGCCGATGAGAAGTCCTGTCTGGGTATGTGTCCCCGCCCCGGCTGCCGGCCACCAACGGTGCTGGTCTCCCTCCTGCGCCAGCCTGGTCTGTTACCTGCCTGAAACTAGCCGTGTAAGTGGGGCACCCCACGCAGTGCCCAGACAGTACCTCCTCCCTGGCTGCAGGGCGGACGAACTGCACCTCCGGGGAGGTGTCTTGCGGAGATGACAGCTGCGTGGGTGCCTTCCAGCTGTGTGACGGGGTCTGGGACTGTCCCGATGGGGCGGATGAGGGGCCCAGGCACTGCCCCCTCCCCTCTCTGCCCACGCCCCCCGCTGGCTCCCTAGAGACTACACCAACTCCCCCGAGCAGTGTCGGACCTGGTGAGTGTTCTGCAGAGGCTGGGGCTAGGGGGCTGGGAGCGAGGAGGCCAAGAGAGCATCCTGGAGGGAAGTGTTTGGGGGCAGGTGCTCTGGGGTGGGCAGGGACAGAGAACGAACGAGTGGAGGGTTCTGAAGGAATTGGAGCGTCCGGCGCCCTCCTCTAAGCTGCAGGGGTCTACTGGGAATTCCTGAGCTAGGGAAGAGTTTTTGGAAGACCAATAGGGCAACAAAGCGCAGGAGCGGCGGGGTAGGGAAAGGAGACGGGGGTGCGGAGGCCAGTGGGACGCGGGAGCTCAGAGGTGGGGCGGGACCTGCCGAGGCCTGAAGTCCCCGGGCAGAGTCTGAGCGGGGCCCGCCGCAGCGCCGTCCTGCGGCCCGGCCGAGTTTGCTTGTGGAAGCGGTGAGTGCGTCCCGCGGGGCTGGCGCTGCGACCGAGACGAGGACTGCGCCGACGGCAGCGACGAGCGCGACTGCGGTGAGCCCCGGGTCCGCGCACCCCGCTGTCCCCAGGCGCCCACCCCGCGCAGCCCTGCCCGGCCCGTCGCGAGCTGCCCCTGCCCCAAGTGCAGACCAGCTCCCCACCCCACCTCCCTGCTCAGGCCCCGCGGATGCGCAGACCCGGCTCCAGCGCAGACCGGCGCCGCCAACTCTTGCCCTGCCCACGGGGCCCACACCCCACCCACCGCGCAGACCCCGCCCCCAGTACAGAGCCCAGTCCCAGCGCAGACCCCGCCCCACGCAGACCTCTTCCCCCAGCCCAGACCCCGCCCTGCGGAGACCCCGCCCCCAGCATAGACCTTAGTCCCGGAGCAGACCCGCCCCTCGCAGTCCTGGCCGTGTCCTTCTTCCCTCGTCCTTTGGGAGCCCTGGGTGGGCGGACGAGCTAGGGAGTGACTTAGATCCGGAGGCCTCAGTCTGCGCTTTGATCTTGTAAATAAAATTCCCTTGAAAACTTTCGCCCTCCTGCCGAAGCCCAGAGGAGAGAGGAGGGGGCTCTTGGCTTTGCCCACACTTGGACAGTCGTGGACAAGAGGGTGGGCGGTGTCATGGTGGGCACGTAGCTGCTCCCCAGCTTCTTCCCTCCTAGACAGTCCCTGAGTCCTGTCCTCCTCCCCGGGGGGCTGTGGCCCCAGCTCCTCTGCCCAGGCCCGCCTGCACCCCCTGGGCCTCCCAAAGGCCCCCTCTGCCAGCCCCTCAGCCCGGTATGGAGCGGAAGCACCTCAGGACACCTCTTGCTGCCTGCAGGACCCACTCAGCTGCCCCCATGTCCTGGCCTCTTCCCCTGTGGCTTGGCTCCCGAACTGTGCCTGCCCGCAGACCGGCTTTGCGATGGGACCCAGGACTGTCCCCAGGCTGAGGACGAGCTGGGCTGTGGTAGGACCCTGTTCCTGTGCAGGCCGTGTTGGGAGGGCTGGACAGCCTTGCGGTGCCTCTGCCACCCACTCCCCACCTAACTGCCTCTTCTCCCCTCCCTCCCCAGAGGGGCTGCCAGCCCTCGGAGGCCCCAACAGGACAGGGGTCCCCTGCCCTGAGTACTCCTGCCCGGATGGTGCCTGCATTGGGTTCCAGCTGGTGAGGCTGCAGCAGTGGGTGCAAAAGGCAGGGTTGTAGACTGCCTGCAGGACCCTGACCCCGCCTCCCCCCAGGTGTGTGATGGGCGGCCAGACTGTGAATTGGCAGGGGACACAGGGCTCTCCCCGGAAGAACAGGGCTGCGGTACCTGGGGCCCCTGGAGCCCGTGGGCACCGTGCAGCCAGACGTGTGGGCCTGGGGTGCAGGTCCGGAGCCGCCGCTGCTCCCCTGCCCGCCCCCTGGTGCTGCACTACTGCCCTGGCCCAGAGCACCAGTCTCAGGCCTGCTTCTCTGCAGCCTGCCCAGGTGAGGGGCCTGGGGCACCTGGGAGGGGGGAGCTGGGGAGATGGGAGGCCTGAAGGGGCGGCCTGGAGGGGGGGTGCCTGGAGGGAGGGGTGCCTGGAGGAGGGGGGCCTGGAGGAGGGGGGCCTAGAGAGGGGGTGCCTGGAGGAAGGGGACCTGGAGAGGAGGATCTTAGAGGCGGGGGCCGGGGAGGCCAGGGTCTCTTAGCCCTGCTGCCTGCCGCCCACCTGCCCGCCCGCTTGCCAATTCCTTGCAGTGGATGGGGAGTGGAGCCCCTGGTCGTCCTGGTCCCCCTGCCTCGAGCCCTGTGGGGGCACCACAGCACGGCAGCGAAGATGCCGCCCAGCTCAGAATGGGGGAAGGAGCTGTGCCACACTGCCTGGTGGCCCTCATAGCACCCACCAGACCAGTGAGTGCTCGGGCAGGGGCAGAGGGTGGGGGCAGAGGGGCCATGCAGGCTGAGAGGTGGGGGCGGCTATGTGTGTGCAGGCTGCAGGAGGCGGGCAGGGGTGTGTGTGCAGGCTACAGGGTGGGAGGTGGGGACGGCTGTGTGTGTGCAGGCTGCAGGAGGCGGGCAGTGGTGTGTGTGCAGGCTGCAGGAGGCGGGCAGGGGTGTTTGTGCGGGCTGCAGGGTGGGAGGCGGGGAGAGTGGGGGCCTGTCTCGGGTGACCCATTCCAGCTTCCGCTCAGAGCCCTGCACTCAGGACGGCTGTCCCAATGCCACCTGCCCCGGGGAGCTGGTGCTCTGGCCCTGCGCCCCCTGCCCCTTGACATGCGAGGACATCTCCAGCCAGGCCTCGTGCCCCCCTGACCGGCCCTGCAACCCAGGTGAGGCCCGGCCAGGAGTAGAAGCAGGGCTGGCTATGGGCGGTGCTCGGGGACAGCAGCCTCACCCTGGGCCTCCTCAGGCTGCTGGTGCCCCGAGGGGCAGTTGCTCGGCAGTGAAGGGCGGTGTGTGTGGCCACGGCACTGCCCCTGTCTGGTGGACGGTGCCCGCTACTGGCCTGGCCAACGCATCGAGACCAACTGCCAGGTCTGTGTCTGCCAAGATGGGTGGCCTCGGCGCTGCCGGCCCAACCCGGACTGCACCGGTGAGCCCCTCCACACTTCCCCCCGGTCCTGGCCCCCTCCTTGGCCACCCAGCCAGTCACCCTCCCCTTCTCCAGGCCGTCACCGTGACTCTGGGTACCCTGCCTGGTGGTCCCGGCATCTGACCCTTGGCCCTCCCTCAGTGGACTGTGGCTGGTCGTCCTGGTCCCCCTGGGCTGAGTGCCTGGGCCCCTGTGGGAGTCACAGCATCCAGTGGTCCTTCCGGAGCCCCAACAATCCCCACCTCTCTGAGCGCAGCAGCCAGTGCCGGGGCATCCACCGCAAGGCACGAAGGTACCGTCCCCCCTGCAGGGACCAAACCCTCACCCCCAGCCCCTACATAGGAAGCTTCTTTCTGGTTTTTCAGCTGCACCTGTGCCTGATGCCCAGCACATCTTTGGGGACCCCGCCTTATCCTACTTCAATTTAATGCTTCTAGGCCCTAGTGGGGGGTAGAGGGAACCCACAGATGCAGTGATGGTGGCAGAGAGCAGGGACAAACACGGGGCGGTTGTGGTTCTCTGCCTGTGCCCCGGGGTACCTGTGTGATGCTTGTCAGGCCCATAGCAGCATCTGCTGCCCAGGCCAGTAGGATTGGCTTTGCTGAACAGGTGGGTTGTGCAGACGGCCCCTCTTCTGGGCGAGTTTTGTTTCTTGGGGGCAGGTGTGGGGTGGGGTTATAGGGTGATTCTCCATAAGCCCCTCAATCCCTGGCAGAGCTCTGGACGTAGGGGAGTGGTGCTCAGGCAAGCCTGCTCACCAGGCCAGGACCCTTCCTAGGTGCCAGACGGAGCCGTGTGCGGAGTGTGAATGGCAGGGCCGGGCCTTCCGCGCAGGGCAGCGCTGGCGCGGGGGCCCCTGTGAGGTGTGCCAGTGTCTGTACAACCGCACCGTGCACTGCTCCCCCTACTGCCCCCTGGGCGGCTGCCCCCAGGTAAGGGGCAGGTGGGGGCAGGGATGCAGGGTGGGCCACAGCGCCTGCCGGGCTCAGGACACACTCCTGACTCCTGTGCCCGCAGGGCTGGTTCCTGGTGGAGGGAGTGGGAGCAGCGTGTTGCCACTGCATCCTGCCCGGTGAGTGGGTCTAGGGGATGACAGAGGAGCCCCAAAGAGGGGAGGACGAGGAACTGAGAGGGAGCGGGGGTGGGGGAGGACTCAGGGAGGCAAGGAAGGGGCCCTCCGGGGGGAGGGGTTCTGGTGCCGCTGCCAGACGCTGAGCCCTCTGGTTCTGCTGGGGCTTCCCTGTTCCCCTCAGAGCGGCCAAGACACTGCCGGACTTTGTCAAGAGCATCTTTACTGGAAACTGAGTTATAGCTGAAGCAGGAAAAGGCTCAGAAACTGATGGGTTTATGGGCCCAGATTCCTTATCCTAAAAGTGCACCCACAGGCCCCATTCCTTCCCCTTGCCCCTCTCTGCTGAGATTAGGACAGACCAACGTAGACCGTTGTACAAGCTGTGGACTGCACAAGAGGGTGGCAGTTTCCCTTCTCCACACCCCAGGCCCACTGTGCTTCCACCCAGAGCTCGCAGACGTGCCTTGTTAGTCTCACAGCCCTGCGTCAGGGTCAGGGTCTGGCCCTGAGGTGGCTTCAGACAGGCAGTTTTGTTCTGTGTTCTCTAAATGTTCGGTGAAAGTGAAAACCCCAACTCACACCCAGGGAGGAGGGGCCTTTCCCTACTGGGGTTTGTTCTCAGCCCCCGCCCTGGACGCATGAGACAGGAAGTGCTCCAAGAAGTGAGGGAATCCATCTGTGCCTCCCCACACAGGAGAGAACCAGACAGCCCACCCCATGGCCACTCCAGCGCCGGCTCCTGCCCCCAGCCCCCAGATGGGACCCCCTCTGGCCACCTACCTTCTGCCTCCACCAGGAGGTAAGGGGATGAAATGTTGGGGTCAGGGAGAGACTGCTCAGCCCAGGAGGCGAAGCAGGACAGCTGGCAGAACAGGCACCCTGCGGGTGTGGATGCCACCCCATTTTAAGTTGCCTCCCCACATCCACCCTTGGACCTTCCTCCTGTCCTGGGCTAAGGTCAGCTGTTTGGGACCCTCAAATCCCCAGCTCCCACTGTGGCTCCTGACTGCCCAGCAGGCTCTGCCCCCACTCAGCCCCTCCCTTTTCTGCACCCAGGTCCCTGCTATTCCCCCCTGGGTCTGGCCGGACCCCCTCAGGGGATCCTGCATGCCATATCCCGGGAGTTGGAGCACCCTGCCTGGGCTGCCTCCCTGGGGGCTCCCACCAAGGGAAGCCCTGGGGAGGCCCACCCTGAGCCACACACCCCGCGCCCCTTACTGCAGCTGGACCTTCGGTGGCCCTGGAACCTCACCGGTCAGTGCAGGCGGGGTGGGGGTGGGGATGGGGGCGGGGCTGCTCCCTCAGCTCTGACCCTGCCCTGCCTCCCAGGCATCCTTGTGCAGGGGGCCGGGGCCATGGACGGTGATGGCTCCAGCTTCTCGCTGCAATTCAGTAGCGACGGCCTCCAATGGCACGAAGACCGTGAAGTCCTGCGCGGCCCTCTGCTCCCACCCCAGGTATCGCCTGCGGAGGCCCTTTTTTCCCCTGGCCACCACACCCCTGTTAGCCCACAGTCCCGGCCCCTGTCAGATGCGGGGAGCGGGTGGGCGATGTCGGCTCGGCGTGGAGGGAGCCCCGAGGGCACCTGCTCCCCTGGGGTTTGCACTCTAACGGGGCAGACGGCCTCACAAAGCAATCTGAGCCAGGCCTGGACACTGCTCCGCCCTCTGCGGGGGTTGGCAGGACCAGAACCCCGCAACTTCCAAAGGCCCGAACGGCTGGTGCCGGGCGGCAAGAGCTCGCGGGCCTGGCAGGGTCGGGCCAGGTCGGGGGCTTGGGTGGGTGGAGGGAGGAGACCGAAGAGCAGGGTTCGGTCCAGCGAGCGACCGCTCTATACCTGCAGGCCTCCGCTGGGAGCTGGGACGGCCTGAGCCCAGCGATGCGGATCTTTGGCCGCATGGTGCAGGCGCGGTACGTGCGGATCCAGCCCCGGGGTCCCCACGACGGCGTCTCTCTGCGAGTCGAGCTGCTGGGCTGTAAACCAAGTACGGGCGGAGCTGGGGGGTCCGGGAGGGGTTGTGAGCCAGGTAGGGGTGGGTCTGGGCGGGGCTGTGAGCCAGGTAGGGCTGTGGGCGGGGCGGGGCTGTGAGCCAGGTAGGGGCGGGGCTGGGCGGGGCTGTGAGCTAGGTAGGGCTGTGGGCGGGGCGGGGCTGTGAGCCAGGTAGGGGCGGGGCGGGGCGGGGCTGTGAGCTAGGTGATGCTGGGCTGGGGGGCTGGGAGCGGGGAGCACCGGGTGGGGCGGGCAGCGTCCCGCCTCAGCGTCCTACTCCCCACCCCAGCATCCTCGCCGATGGCACCCCGGTGCCCTGGAGCTGTGCCTAGCTGTGCCAGCGGTGAGTGTGCCTGGAGAGGGGCCGCGTGCGATGGCGCTGAGGACTGTGCGGACGGCTCCGATGAAGAGGGCTGCGGACCTCGGTCCACCGGCGCCGGCAGGTCGGAGAGAAGCCCCCACTGTTCACATCCTTAGCTGAGGAAGGAGCCATGTGGGACCACACTGCCTTCACCTCAGGGCCCCCTGGTTCTGCATGTACATTCTGTACCTTTGTCGAGGGACTAGAAGCCAGGGGCTCCAAGTCTGGTCCGCATCGGCATCACCTGTAGCTTGTTGGAAATTAAGATTCTCGGGCTACACTCCCACCTGCCAAAGTAAGGCTCTTCGGGTGGAACTCAGCAGTCTGTGGTGATTCTGATAGCCCTGGAGAACCCCTCCTGAACGCCCCTCCCCAAGGCCCAGCCCCGAGATTACTGACCTCCTGTCTGGTGGGGGCTCTGAGGCTGGGGGAGCCCTAGAGCTCTCTTGGTTCTTTCCCTTCGCAGGGTGCCTCCCACAGGGAGGACCCCAGGCCCCTCCTCCTCTCAGCCCAGGCAGCTGGTCACCCAGCCCAGGGAGGTGAGTGAGACAGGGGGAGGACTAGGAGGGCAGGGAGTGGGCCGCCAGCATCACCGCCCCTGCCCTGCTCCAGCCCCCTCCGTGCACCCCCCCTTCACTCGTCCTTGCTCGTGGGTGTACTGGGTCTCCTGGGGCCCATGGAAGGGAGGTGCACTGGCCTGGAAGGTTTGGGAGACAAGAGGCCCACCCTGGGCATAAGGTCATGCCCACAGACACCAGTGCATGGGCACAGGAGGGAGGCAGGGGCTTCCTGAGGGGCAGGGCTAGTCTTGAAGGATGGGCGATCTGTAGGTGAAGACGAGGGGACAGGGAATGAACAGAGCACATACCTGAGTGTAACTGTGAGTGTGTGAGTGTGCATGCAAGTGTCTGAGTGAGTTGAGTGTTCGAGTGTATATGTGCGTCTGAATGAGTGGTTGTGTGTGTGAGTGTGTCTTTGTGAATGAATGTGGATGCGTGTCAGTAAGTGTGTGTGCCAGTGTGTGAGTGTATGCTAGTGTGAGAGTGTGTGTCTGAGCAAGTGGATGTTGTTTCTCTGTGTGCGCACGTGAGCGTGTACGTGAGTGAACCCAGTCCCTGGCTCAGCTCTGCCCTGGGCTTGGGAAGGGGCAGGTGGATGAGGGGGAGAGACAAGGGGGCAGGCAGCCGGCGTGGGAGGCACCAGTCTGGGCTGTGCCCTCTCCTCTCACAGAGTCTGGCAGAGACTGAGCTCTGGCACCCTGAGCGAGGGTCCTTGGAACCCCCCACAGGTATGTGCACTGGCTCCAGGCCTCCTCCCCAAGCCCCACCACTGCCCACAAGTCTGAGCTTCTGGTCCCCTGACCTGTGACCTCCCCTGCGGCAAGGCACACTACTCAGGAAGGGGTTGAGGAGTCACCTCTCGTGGGAGGGGACCCCATGGGCCTCACCCTGCCCCTGCACCCACAGAGAAGGGGCCAAAGGGTCCTCTCCCAGCCTCCAAGTCTCCTCACCCAAGTTCTGGAGAGTCCATGCCATCAATGGCCGCCACCCCCACATCCCAGCCAGAGGCCAGGATACTGCAGCCAGATATGGCAGCTGTGACGGGGCAGTCTCCCAACGAGATGGCTACACCGGCCCCCGCTGGTAATATTTCACAGAATTGTGCCTACACAGCCTGTTTGATCCCAACTGTGACCCTGTGAAGGCAGACTCCGAGGGTCCCCTTACAGTCCAGGGGTGGGCTCCAGGGGGTTCCCTTACAGAGGAGAGGCCACCGCCAGGAGGGGTGTTCGTTCTGCTTCAGGCCACGCAGTCCAGGACTGGGTTATTGGTGGGACCAGGCCAGGTCCCAGGTAGGGTGACAGTGGCACCTGCTGATTGTGCAATGTTGCCCTCAGGCCCGAGTGTGCGCCCAGGGCCCTTCCCGCCCACACATTGTGGCCCAGGGCAGGTGCGCTGTGCGGTGCTGGGCTGTGTGGAGCCTGAGCAGCTATGCGACGGTCTGGAGGACTGTCTGGATGGCTCTGATGAGTGGCGCTGTGGTGAGCAAGGCAGGTGTCTATCATATGCTGTAGTGCCAGAGGGCCTTAGGCTTGGGGAGTCCCTGGTCCCCATTTCTGGCTCCATGGGAAGGGCCTGGAGAGGCTTGAGGTGGCAGGGAGCAGAGAGTGAAGAGCTGTGAAAACAACAGGGGTTTGTGTTTGGGGGACAGTGAAGAGCGGGTGGGATAGGCCATCTGTCTATCCATCTGTCCATCCATCCATTAATCTGTCCATCCATCCATTCATCTATTACTCATCCATCCATTAATCTGTCCATCAGTGAGCCCATCCATTCATTAATCTATCCATTCGTTCATCTGTCTATCCATCCATTCATCTGTCCATTCATCTGTCCATCTATCCACCAATCCATCCATCCATTCATCCACCATTCATTAATCTATCCATCTGCCCATCCATCCATTAATCTGTCTGTCCATTATCTCTCCATCCATCCATCTACCTATCTGTCCACCCATTCATCTGTCCATACATACATCCATTAATCTGTTCGTCCATTCATCCATCTGTCCGTTAGTCCATCCATCCATCCATCCAGTAAAAGTAGAATGCTGTGCTCAAGGCCCATGGCATAGTCTTCCAATCAGGAAAAATCAAAGGAGAGGCCAGGGCACCAGAGAAGTCAACTGCTCTTATGGCCACGCCAGCCTCTCTGACACCCCAAGGGCCTTCGACCTGCAGAGAGACTGCATGAGAGGCTGTGTGCTCTCTGCCTTAAGCAGAGGGAAGCCAGTCGGCACTGGGCATCGCACTAGGGAGGCCAGGCCACCAGTCAGCTCGCTTCATCCCTCTGAGCCTAGGGTGGAGGGGCCTGCCTGTACCCCAGCCAGGAATAACAGCTCCTTCTCCCTTGCTCCCGGGCAGCAAGCACTGTGCCCTTGCTGGTGCCCACAATGGCCCTGCCTCAGCTGCTAGCCACCTGCTCCCCACAGCAGCTGCGCTGCGGCAGTGGGGAGTGCCTTCCTGCCCTACGGCGCTGCGACCTGCGGCCGGACTGCCAGGATGGCTCTGATGAGCGCGACTGCGGTACACACATGGACCCCAGGGCCTGCCTGCCACTGGCTGTCCTAGCCCCGACCCGATCCCTGACCCCTGACTTGTGCTGTCCTGCCCTGCAGTGGACTGTGTGCTGGCGCCCTGGTCTGGCTGGAGTGGCTGCAGCCAAAGCTGTGGACCTGGCCTTGCCGTCCAGCACCGGCAGCTGCTTCGGCCCCCCCTGCCTGGGGGCAGCTGCCGGCTCAACCGAGTCCGAAGTCGGTCCTGCTTCCTTCGGGCCTGCCCAGGTGAGCCCGCCCTGCACTCTTCAGTGACAGGGCCCTCTCTCTCTTGGGTACCTCAGGACTTCAGGGTGCAGTTCCTCCTCATGTCACAGCCAAGGGCCAGTGAAGGCCATCAGGACCCCTGGCCCAGCCCATGCTTCTGCCCAAGTGGCCCTGGGTGGAGCCTGTACCCCGGGAATGATAGCGATCCACCTCAGAAGGTGCTCTGAGGATCCAAGGAGGGGACGGGTGAGGGTTAACTGCTGCAGGTGTATGGCTAGTCTATGGGCCCAAGGAATGTCCCCACTCCATCTGTGCACGACAGAGAGGGGTTTTCCACACTGGGGTGGCTCTTCAGCCCACATCTCACCTCCTAGCTTGGTGAGACTGCCCCACTTCCACTCCTGTCCACCAGGGGTTCCCTGCGCCACAATTCCCATGGCCCCAGCCCCTCCCAGGGACCTAGGGGTACCCTGATCTTCCCTGGGCACACACCACCCGTGGGAGGTTCCCTGGGACAAAGAGAATGTTGGAGTTCCCCCTGAGCACTGCCTTGCTGGCGCCACCCAGCCGGGACCTAGAGGGCAGGGTCCTCTCTGGCTGCCTACCTGCTCCTTCTTTCTGGCAAAGTCTTGTCTCCTGGTCTCCACCAGGAGACCAGCTGGTCCCTCTGCATTCTTCCTTCCCCACAGTGGCTGGGGCGTGGGCTGTGTGGGAGGCCTGGGGGCCCTGCAGCGTTTCCTGTGGGGGTGGCCATCGGACTCGCAGGAGAAGCTGTAAGGACCCCCCGCCCAAGAACAGTGGTGCCCCCTGCCCAGGGGCCTCCCAGGAGGGGGCACCCTGCAGCTTGCAGCCCTGTGGAGGTGGTACTGGTAAGGGGCTAAGGGTGGGCTGGGGCAGGGGGCATTCAAAGAGGAAGTCTGTGGGGTGGGCAGTTGGGGCAGTCCCTTTGCTTCTGGTGTCCCCCCACCTGGCGCTGTCTCCCCTAGACTGTGGGCTGGGCCGCGTACACGTGAGTGCTGAGCTGTGCCGTAAGGGGCTGGTGCCCCTGTGCCCACCCTCCTGCCTGGACCCCGAGGCCAACAGAAGCTGCAGCGGGCACTGTCTGGAGGGTGAGGCTGACCCAGCAAGGAGGCGCCATGGATAGAGCCCCAAGGGGAGCAGGGGACACTAATGGGCCTTGCCCCCGCCTCCCTTCCTTACCTGGGGCTGAGTGCCGCCCCCCCCCCCCAGGATGCCGCTGCCCATCTGGGCTGCTCCTGCATGACAGGAACTGCCTGCCCCTCTCCCAGTGCCCCTGCCTCGTGGGTGAGGAGCTGAAGCCCCCGGGTGAGCCCTTTCTTCTGGACAGCTGCAGCTGGTGGTGAGGGCACACCCCGCACTCTTGGGGCAGAGGCAGGCTGGGGAGGCTGGGAGGCCTTGGAGTTCCGAGTGGGGCCTTCCACCTGGTCTCCACTCTCCACGCCTGACCTCATCCCCCCCCTGCAGCATCTGTGAGGAGGGGGCTCTGCGATGTGAATCCAGGAGCTGTCCTGTGCCCTGCGGCTGGTCAGCCTGGTCCCCCTGGGGCCCCTGCGACCGCTCTTGTGGCTCTGGAGTGAGGGCCAGGTTCAGGTGTGTGTGAGGGGACAGGGAGGGAGGGAGAGAGGCTGGAGACTGAGCAGTAAGCAAGGGAGGGGACAGTGCGGGGAGTCCAGCCTGGCAGGCCTGGGTCCAGCCAGGCAGGGGTGGCTGGAGCATGGAGGGACAGAGGAGGCAGGGGCGAAGGGGGAAACAGGAGCACAGGTACCCATGCTGCTTCTCCCCAGATCTCCCTCCAACCCTCCTGCCGCCGCTGGGGGTGTCCCGTGTGAAGGGGACAGGCAGGAACTGCAGGCCTGCCACGCAGCATGTGGAACAGGTATAGCTGCAGAGCGGGTGGGGAGAAGGCTGGGGTAGGGGGGAGTGGGGGACGTAAGGGGGGCCTCCACCCTTTTCCTTCTGTCTTCTTTCAATCGGAACTCAGGAGCCCAGCGTGACTGCACCCTACTGATCATCCTGGTTGGGAGGGGGGCGTCAGGGTGTCCTCTCCAGTCTGGAGGTGCAGGCCTAGAACTGACCTCAGTAGAATGGGCATTGACCAGGCCAGGGCGGAGGCCTGGCCCAGGTGGGGTCCTCCTCCCACCTAGAGAGGCGGGGCCGCGGCATGGGCGGGGCCGCGGCTGGGGCGGTGGTGCAGAATCACTGAGTGAGAGCAGGGGGCAGGCGTGGGCTCAGGCTGTCTCAGCCTGAGAAGGAAGCAGGGGGAGAAGGAAGCAGGGGGCCCATGGGGCGTGCGGAGGGAAAACTTGGAGATGAACTGAAGGCGTGCCCTTGATGACTGAGGATAGTGTTTGGAAGGGTCTGGATATGAGGATAGACGGCAGGTATGTCAGAATGGACGTGCCAGCAAGGCCCGTGGACCCAAGCGTGGAGACAGCGTGGGACCCGGCCCAGAGCAGGGGCGGGAATCTCAGCGAGCGGAGTGGGAGCGGAGGCTGCCGCGAGACCTCGAGTACCACTCTGCGTCCTCATTAGCCCTTCCCTGACCCCCACGGCTTCCCAGATCTGATCCTGCGATCTCCGGTCCCCCGACTCTCACAGCCCAGCCAGGGCCCCGCTGCAATAGGTCTGTCCCTTCCCTCCCCCCCCCCCACCCCAGAGGTGCTGGGCTGGACACCCTGGATGCCATGGTCCCGCTGCAACCGAAGCTGCCTTACCCCTGGGGAGGGCCCGGGCTGGCGACGTCGTTCCCGGCTCTGCTCCAGTCCCGGGCACGCGTCCTGCACAGGAGAAGACACTCAGGAGGAAGCCTGCAGTCCCCCTATGTGTCCAGGTGTGCCTCGGTCGGTTCCGTGCAGCCTGGGCACTGGTGGTGTGGGGGAGGGGGAGAATGACCCCTGGGGCTGTTCCGAACACGTGGGGAGAGACTTGAGTGGGCCTGGCTGTTGTCCTTAAGTTTCTCTCCCCAAGCCGACCCCGGGACACCCAGCCGAGGTTAACGGGCAGCCTAAAGGAATGTTTAGAACAATCTTGGGGCTCTGAGGATCCAGGCAAGGCCCCAGCTCTGGGCCCACCGGCCCCATGGCTCTTTCCCCTGCCCTGTCCTTGATAGTACCAAGTGCCTGGGGTCCGTGGGCTCCCTGGTCGGCTTGCTTAGTGCCCTGTGATGGAGGCATCCAGACACGTGGGCGCAGCTGCTCTGGTCCAGCCCCCGGGGACCCTGAGTGCCGGGGACCCCACAGCCAGACCAGGGACTGCAACACGCAGCCCTGCACAGGTATCAGCGCCTCCTGTTCTAGGGCCACGGCCAGCCCCACGCGGCCCTCATGCCCACTTCTCCGTTCTTCCCACTGTGGTGTCTGGACCCTCACCCCACCCTGCCTTCCACCCCCACCTTGCCTTCCTTGGCCCTCCTGAGTGTACAGCCCCCTCCTCAATCCCCCCGCGACCGCCCACCCCCCACCGCTGCTGAGGCCCGCTCGGTGTCCCACCCAGCCCAGTGCCCGGGGGACATGGTGTTTCGCTCGGAGGAGCAGTGCCGCCAGGAGGGCGGGCCGTGCCCTCGGCTGTGCGTGGCGCACAGCCCCGGGGTGGAGTGCACGGGCTCCTGCGTTCCCGGCTGCACCTGTCCCTCTGGCCTCTTCCTGCACGACGCGCGCTGCCTTCCCCGAGACCAGTGTCCCTGCCAGTGGCATGGGAGGCTGTACCCGCCCGGAGAAGTGGCTCGACTGGACTCCTGCAACAACTGGTAGGACTAGGGGGGCTGGGAGGAGGGAGGGCGAGGGACAGGGGCAGGCATGGGGAGGGGCAGACATGAGGCGGGCACGTGGGAGGTGGGCGGGCGTGACCCCTTCTTCAGACGACCTTCCTTCGCATACTCGGTCCTCCTCCAGGTAGATGGGGAGGGGTGCCGGCCCTAGGAGCACTCGGGGAGTGGGATCCGGTCTACCCCTCTAAGGAACCATCGTCCCTTTGACTTACGGAAACACTGAGTCTCAGATGGATGAGGCCCTTTATAATGGAACTTCTAATCTCTCCTCCGGGTGCTCTCTCTTCCTTTTTCCCTGAATGTGATTCCCCACCTGCTCAGAAACCTTGAAGAGCCCATCGCAGGAGCCCAGGAGGCGATACCAGGCGCGCCCAGCAGAGGGCGCCAGCCCTTCCCTACTTTCCCCTTCCTCCTCCTTCCTCCCTCTTCCTCCTTCCTTCCTTCCTCCTTGTTGCCCTTTCCTCCTACTTCTTCCTTCTCCTTTCTCTTCCTCCTTCCTCTCTCTTACTCCTCTTTCCCTCTTTTTCCTCCTTCCCTTTTCTTTTCCCTCCCCTGGTCCCTCCCCAACTCTTCCTTTCTTCGTCTTCCTCCCTCCTGCGCCTTCTCTCTGGCCTTCTTTCTTAGATTCTTTTGTTGGGCCCCCATGTATTTGACAAATAGGCTTGAAGTATTTATTGGGGAAAATTAGAAGTGAAGGAAAGTACCCGTCCTCCTTCCTAGGGTCTGCTCTTTCTACACCACCCCGAGAAGTCCCTCGAGGACATTTCCAAACCATGTCTGATAAGCACAAATGGAATAAAAAATGTGAAAGGTGGTACCATGGGAAGCCAAGGACTGGCGGGGGGCTCCTCATGTGGCCACTGGCAGCTCACTGAGCTTCTTGGGATCTTGGAGGGGTCTCTAGGTCCCTAGGGGCAGAGGTTCTTTGTGCCAGGCTGGGCCCAGGCTCACAGGCACTCTGTCCACAGCACCTGTGTCTCTGGCAAGATGGAGTGTACCTCCCAGCCCTGTCCAGGTAACCTGCTCAGGCCAGGGAGTAGTGGTAGATTGGCAGGGACCACAGGACAAAGATTCCTTCAGAGAGAAGATCCTGGGCTGTGTTGGTGGCCCGTGGGAATGGGTCCCAGTGGGCCTTGACCAGGTCGCACACATACACCCCTCCCCCGGCAGTGGCCTGTGGCTGGAGTCCCTGGACCCCATGGACTATCTGCAGCCGGAGCTGCAATGTGGGCATTCGGCGGCGCTTCCGGGCAGGCACTGCCCCCCCAGCTGCCTTTGGGGGGGCCGAGTGCAAGGGCCCCAACATGGAGGCTGAGTTCTGCAGCCTGCGACTCTGTCAGGGTGAGAGCAGACACTCAGGTCCTGAGACTGCCTTAAAGACCCTCCAGAGAGAAGCCAAGAACAGCCCAGCCCTCCACCCTAGAACCCCATGAGCTTCCCTGAGAGATGGCCCCGAGAGAACCCTGAGTGTTCATCCCCCAGAGCCCCTCCCCAGAGTCCAGCCCAGGAGCCTGGGGAGCCCCTGAGTAGTGTGAGATATCTGGGTTGGTATGAGGTCTGAGGGGAGAAGGGAGGAGGGTCCTGGCCTGCAGTGACCTGGGCCCACCCCCAGGGTTACGCGGGAAGTGGGGGCCCTGGTCTCCGTGCTCCGTGCCCTGCGGTGGTGGCTACAGGAATCGCACCCGAGGCAGTGGCCCCCACAGCCCTGTTGACTTCTCTACCTGCAGCCTGCAGCCCTGTGCAGGTGAGGTTGCCCTCGGGGACCTGCCTGCTCCCAGCACCCCTACCCAGCCCAGGACTGCGTCCAGGGCCCAAGGCACTGCCCACCCCTCCCTGCCCCCATCACCGCAGGGGATGCTTCTCCCCAGTTCTGTGCAGTGGCACTCAGAGCTGAAGGCTCTCCCAGGAGGGAGCCCAGGGCCAAGGGCTGGTAATTTCTGGATCCACAGGGCCAGTGCCTGGCATGTGTCCTGGGAACCAGCAGTGGCTGGACTGTGCCCTGGGCCCTGCCTCCTGTGCAGAGCTCAGTGCCCCAGGAGCGGCTAATGGGACTTGCCGCCCTGGCTGCTACTGTCCACCTGGGACACTCCTGCTGGTGAGTGCCCTCCCCCGCCATCACAGCTGGCTTCCTTGCAATCTGGGCAGAGCAGGGCCAGGAGCCTGGGGGCCCTGAGAGCTGAGGAAGTCATGGACTTGGAGTCCCTCATTCTGTGGGGAACAGGGAGCCTTGGCCAGTCTCATGCCCCAGGCCCTGGGCTCTTGGTTGTAAGGCGGTGGTGCCCGCTCCAGCTCTCTGTGCTCTGTGTGAGCACCTGCTGTATGCACTGCGCAAGGCAGGGCTGCACTGTGGGAACACAGGCCGCATTTTCAGGAAGGCTGCAGCCCAGGGAAACCAGGCCAAGCACCCCTGAGACGAAGACAGAACTGTGGGGCGGATGAGAAGTGTGTGCCCCAGATGGGTGAGGGTGGGTGGGTCATCGGGCGCCCCGAGCAGGAGGCTCTCGCCTTGACCGCAGAGACTGGGGGGCCCGGGTAGACTCCCGGCCTGGGACTGTGGGAAGTGAAAGGCCCAGTGGTACCTGGGCTCTGTGTCCAGTCAGGGCCTTTCCGAGCTGCAGTCTCTCCATTTGTATGTGTGGGAGTGATCAGGGAGACGTTTGGGACGCTGCTACGGCTGTCACTGTCCCTGTGCACGTGGCCTCTCTGTTGTTATTCTCCTGATGAAATGTGACCGTTTTTGCACCCTTGCAGCAAAATCGCACATTTCACAATTTCCACAGCTGATCTCACCATGCTTATCCGGACTGCAGCGTGTTTGTGGGAGGCATGGGGGGGCAGAGCCCGGGCTCTGAGCCTGATGGTAAGGGTGGGTCTGTCCTTCCAGAACAACGCGTGCGTGCCCACCCGCGACTGCCCCTGTACCCACGAGGGGCGTTTGCATGCCCCCGGCAGCGTCGTGCTCCGCCGCTGCGAGAACTGGTGAGACACTCCGGCGGCCTTGGCCCCCCCACCCCAGGCACAGCCGGCCCTCCCGCTTCCCTCCCTGACCGCCACGCTCGTCTTCCAGCTCCTGCGTCTCGGGAATAATCACCAACTGCACCTCGCGGCCCTGCGCGGAGGGTGAGGGACGGACCTTGCTATGACTGCCGCCCCTCTCTCCTTGCCTCCTTTCCTCCCTCGGGGCAGCAGAGTGGGCCTGATCCCGCCGGAGGAAGCCTAGGAGGGGCAGGGCGGGGGTGGAGGCTGTGTCCGTCAGTCGGTCACGCTCCCTCCCGCGCGCCGCGCAGCCCCGCCAGCGTGGTCGCCCTGGACCCCCTGGAGCGAGTGCTCCGCCTCCTGCGGCCCTGCCTGGCGCCACCGGCACCGCTTCTGCCCCGGAGACCGTGGCGCGGCGCTGTCCCCTGCGCTGAGCTCTCCAGTGCCTCCTTGCCTGGGCCCCGAGGCCGAAGAGGAGCCCTGTTTACTGTCCGGCTGCGACCGTGAGTGTCCGCCCCGCCCGCCGAGCCCGCCCCTGCCCTTCCCCTGCCGAGCCCGCCCCTGCCCTTCCCCCTGCCGAGCCGGCCCGGCCCCCCGCCCTTCCCCTGGCTGAGCACGCCCCGCCCTGCGTGGACTCATCGCCCCGGCCCAGCCTAGCCCCCATTGCTTCCTCTGTGTCCCTCAGGAGCCGGGGGTTGGGGTCCGTGGGGCCCCTGGTCTCGCTGTAGCCGGAGCTGTGGCGGAGGCCTGCGGAGCCGGGCCCGCGTCTGCGACCAACCGCCGCCGCAGGGCCTGGGGGACTACTGCGAGGGGCCTGGGGCCCAGGCGGAAGCCTGCAGAGCCCTGCGGTGCCCAGGTACCTGCGAGTGGGAGAGGGCCAGGGCGGGGGAGAATGGAAGGGAGAGACGCCTGCAGCCTGTCCTGTCCCTCCCCCAGTGACCAACTGCACAGCTGTCGAAGGGGCCGAGTACAGCCCCTGCGGTCCCCCCTGTCCTCGCACCTGTGACGACCTGGCGGTGAGTCTCGCCCTCCCCTCCACCGGACCTCTGATCCTGAAAGGTCACTCTGAGGGACTGCTGGGCGGGCTGTGCCTCATCGCCTCCTGCCTGGGGCCAACGGTCCCAGATGCCCATTTTTGGTTAGCCCACGCCTAATCTGCTCCTTTTCCAAAGAGGAAAACACGTGTATTACTTGTGGTTCCCTGACAGCAGGAGTCGGCCTCACTGAGCAGCCCTCATCTTCATTATATCGAACGTTTGCTAAGTAAACATTTTATTACAAAATCAGCATAAACACCTAGGAAGGGGGGAAATGGTCCTAAAACACCGTGAACATTTAGGTATCTGAAGTTTGACTTCCTTTGTAGTTATGCGTGCATGTGTGTGCAGGTGTGTGCGTGCATGCGTGTGTGTGCATGCATGGGTGTGTGTGCACGGGCATAATATGCATGCATATGTGTGTGTGTGCTTGTATGTGTGCATGTGTGAGTGTGTGCACATGCGTACATGCATGTGAATATCACTCAAACATTTACCTGGCACCTACTCGGACACCATGGATACAGTGGCAGCCACACCTGACTGGGTCCCACCCCGGTGGAGTTACACGAATGGAAAACTCTTCAACATGCAGGCACGATGGAGCTCTGAGACCACGTGGAGGGGGTGTCTAAGGGAAGCCAGGAGGGCTCTGGGCAGCAGCAAGGGAGAAGGAAGGCAGGAGGGAACCTGGGCACCCCTCAGGCCTATGGGCCACAGCCTGCCCCAGGCTCTTCCCAGAGCCCCTCTCCAAGCCTGCTGGCTCCAAGCCCTCGAGGGGGGATGCCTCAGTTTCCACTGTGTGCACAGCCCTAGGAACTGTGATTTTCCTGGGGGACATGCGGCTTTACTCGTCCCCACCAGGGAGGCTCGAGGGGTGCCCAGGTTCACTGCTTCTCCCCAGGGACTAGGCACAAGGTCACAAGGTCTGAGCACAGCGCTGTCTTCTCCTGAGTTTAGGACCCTAGGAATGTGCAGTACCCTCCCGCCCCGGTGGCCCTGTGGCTCTGCCTACCCCACCTATGGTGCATTTTCTGCTGACCAGAGCCCCTTCCTGTCCCCCAGCTCTGCGTGTGGCGCTGCCAGCCAGGCTGTTATTGCCCCTTGGGCCAGGTCCTGAGTGCAGATGGGGCCACCTGTGTGCAGCCAGGCCACTGTGGCTGTCTGGACCTGTTGACCGGGGAGCGGTACCACCCCGGTGCTCGCCTCGCCCGGCCTGATAGCTGCAACCACTGGTGAGGCTGGTGTGACCGTGGCCCTCACATCACTGGACCCCTGACCTCCTCCCGGTCCTAGGGAGATGCAGGGCAAGCCTGTGACGCTGTCTGGTGGGAGAACCTAGAATGCCAGGGGACCTCAGAGCTGGATTCTGAGCAGGATTGGATGGGCAGGGCAGTGGGTGTGGTTTCTCCCCACCGTCTGGACCTCATGTTGGGCAGCATCCCAGAGCTGACGCGCTGGGGGTCTGCCAGCGAGCTAGACAGGAAGCAGGTTTTGGAGATGAAGAGGGAGAAGGGAGCCCAGGAGGGGGGATGCGGGTGTGAGACTAATCTGCTGCCTCTTCCCTCTTGGGTCTGCACCCCCTGCCAGCACCTGCTTGGAGGGGAAGCTGAACTGCACAGATCTGCCCTGTCCAGGTAGTGCCCAGCCTGCAGGGGTGAGGGGAGGAGCTGGAGGTGTGGCCTGTGCCCTAGTGCCTGTCTGTCTTCCTCCACAGTGCCGGGGGGCTGGTGCCCGTGGTCAGAGTGGACACCATGCTCACTGCCCTGCCGGGGCCAGCAGAGGACCCGCTCCAGGGCCTGTGCCTGCCCCTCCCCTCAACATGGGGGAACCCCGTGCCCTGGGGAGACAGGGGCCCAACAACAGAAGGAGGCCTGCCCCAGCCCTGAGCCCTGCCCAGGTGTGATGTCCCCCCAGGCCCCAAATGCCCGCTCTGACCCCTGCTGCCTGTACCTGCCAGCCCGCCTGAGGCAGACAATTCCTCTTCCTGGCACAGAGGATGGAGCCTGGAGCCTGTGGGGGCCATGGTCCCCCTGTGACATGTGCCTGGGGCAGTCCTACCGGAGCCGGGTGTGCACCAAACCCCCCAACCCTGAGGGAGGCAGGCCCTGCCCTGGGGCCTACAGGCAGAGCCGCCCCTGTCAGGACTCTTCCTTACAGTGCACAGGTGGGCGCTCTGGGCAGGGTCTGGGGGGCTGCTTCCTTGGCTGCCCTTGCTAAGCCTGCGGCAGAGTGGCTCATTGGGAGGGGTTATCACGAGTGCCCGGGTCAGCACGTCTCTCTGCTTCCCTCCTGCTGCAGACTGCAGGGGTGGCCAGGGTCTGGTCCCCTGTGGTCGGCCCTGTCCTCGCTCCTGCCAGGACCTGTCCCTAGGGAGCGAATGCCAGCCAGGGCCCACCGGCTGCCAGCCCAGCTGTGGGTGCCCCCTGGGCCAGCTGGTCCAGGATGGACTCTGTGTGCCCCCCGCCTTCTGCCGCTGCCAGTACCAGCCTGGAGCCATGGGTCAGTGTCCTACTGCTTTGCTCAGCACTGCACCCTGTCTCTCTGCCCCTCTATCTGGGAACCCAGAGGTGGCTGCAGGGGGCTTGAGGACTGCAGGGAGGGTAACCTTCCAGGCCGAGTGTCCCCTGCATCCCGCGGGCTGATCCAGGGTGGAGGAGGCTGTAGAGAGGGGCTGAGGGGTGCTAGGCTGTCTGGTGTCCTCACCCTCACCTACCCCTCAGGTATCCCTGAGAACCAGAGCCGGTCAGCAGGGCCTGGTCTCAGCTCCTGGGAGAGCCTGGAGCCCGGAGAGGTGGTGACCGGGCCATGTGATACCTGGTGAGCCCGGGAGCAGGAGAGGTGGCCAGGGGCTAAGGGGGGGGGGCTCTCCTGAACCCCACCCTTGTCCCCAGCACCTGCGTGGCTGGCGTCCTGCAGTGCCAGGAGGTGCCCAGCTGCCCCGGCCCTGGGGCATGGGACGCTTGGGGCCCCTGGGAAGCCTGCAGTGCATCATGCGGGGGTGGGGAGCAGCTGCGAGTCCGGCATTGCGCCCGCCCTCCCTGTCGGGGGCCTGCCCGCCAGAGCCGTACTTGCCATACCCAGGTGTGCAAAGGTGAGCACCTGCCCAGGCAGATGGGGACCCTGGGAGGGTGACATCGGCCCTGGGGGGCCTTTTGTGGGGGAGGGCGTTGGCCTGGGGTCCGGGCCCTGGGCGGGTGGTGTCAGCATGACGGTGGGGGGTTGCGGGGTGGGCGTGGTCTTGGGTACTGAAGTAACGATGCTGTCTTCAGAGGCTGGGTGTTCAGCTGGACGTCTGTACCGGGAGTGCAGGCCCGGTGAAGGCTGCCCCTTCTCCTGTGCCCACGTCACACAGCAGCTGGGCTGCTACTCCGAGGGCTGCGAGGAGGGGTGTCACTGCCCCCAGGGCGCCTTCCAGCACCGCTTGGCCTGTGTGCAGGTCAGACCCCCACAAACACCAGGCCTTCCCTTCCCCACCCCTCCCCCTCCTCAGGGTTGTGCTCTGAACTCCAAGGCAAGTCACCCCTCACCTCTGCAGCAGGGCTGCCTCTAGACACCTCACCTCTCAGAGCACCCAGCATGGAGACCTGTGGGGTGCAGCCTTCTTGGGTACCCTGGGTCTTGGGAAATAGGCTACCTGCCCCTCACGGATGCTGACTGTCTCCTGCCAGGCCCCAAAGCCCCCCTCCCTGTCTTCGGCCCTGGTGCCCTTGGGTCTTGGCCGCAGAGAGCTGTGGGTCTTCACTACCCTCCTTCCCATCCATGATCTTGGGGAAGTCTTCCCCTCACCTTTGCCCTGCCCAGCCCCAGGCCCCTAGTTCTCAGTTCTCATGGCAGGTGTGATTCCTCCACTCATTCTGAAGCGGCTTCTACTCGCATCTCTACCCCTGCCCCTGGCCACAGTTGCAGCTGTCATGGCCAGAGGGCACCTGAGTGGCCATCTGGTCCAGCCTCCTTGTCTGAGAGGGGATGCTGTGTCCCAGAGAGGGGAAGATGTCCCAGAGAGTGAGAGGCTCAGCCAGAGGCAAACTGGGGCCCCAGCTCCGGGGGGGGGGGGGGCTCTCTCCCTTCCTCATTCTTAGGGGATGCTCTCTCCCCACCCCGCACTGGAGGGGTTCTCTCCCCCTTCCGACACTAGGGGGCTCTCCTCAACTCTTAGGGGGGTGCTCTCCTCCTTCCTGACGTTAGGGAGCATTCTCACCGCTCCCCATTTCTAGGTGGAGTTTCCGAAACTGGGGTGGGGGGGCGCTGTCTCCCTCTCCTGACTTTTAGGGGGCGCTCTCCCCCTTTCCAGGAGCCCTGGCAGTGCAGTGGTTAAGCGCTCCGCTGCTAACCGAAAGGTTGATGGTTTGAACCCACCAACCGCTCCACAGGAAAAAAATGTGGCAGTTTGCTCCTATAAAAGATTTCAGCCTTGGAAACCCTATGGGCAGTTCTACTCTGTCCTATAGGGTCGCTATGAGTCGGGTTGACTTGGGGCAAGGGTTTGGTTTGGTTTTCTTCCCTTTCGAAACCCTTAGGGGGCGCTCTCTCCCCTTCCCAACTCCTAGGGGACTCTCTCTCCACCTTCCCGAAACTAGGGGACGCTCACTCTTCTCCCTATTTCTAGGGGGCGTTCTCCCCTCCCACAGCTTGCCAGGTTCCTGTTCCTGTAGGGTCCCTGGGACTCCTGACTGTCCTGGTGAAGGCTGTGTGGAGGACTGGTCGCCAGCTGAGCCAAATCCACAGGATGCAAACCTCTGTGTCCAAGCCCAGAGTTTGGACTGTCAAGGAGAATCCCTAAGATGCGCCCCTGCGTTCTCACACCTCCTGCTCCTCCCCTCCCTCGCTTACTTAGAGGTGGGCACGAACATCGGTTGGGGGCCTGCCTGGTCTGACCGCATCTCCCCTCCACCAGGAGTGCCCCTGCGTGCTGACTGCACGGCTGCTGCAGGAACTGGGGGCCCCCAGCCTGGACCCTGGGGCTCGGCCACTCGTTTTGGGAGAGGGGGGTCGACCTTTGGGGCCCGGAGATGAGCTGGGCTCGGGGCAGACCTTTCACTCGGGTTGCAGCAACTGGTGAGGGGGCGCCGGGGCTAGGCTGGGAAGGGGGAGCTGGGGCGGGGGTGGACACTGGCTGAGTCTCCCTGCCTCTGACCACTCGCCGCCTCCCCAGCTCATGTGCACACGGGAAGCTGTCCTGCTCCCGGGAGGACTGCGCCGCGGCCGGCGGCTTCGGCCCCTGGAGCGCGTGGAGCCCGTGCTCGCGCTCCTGTGGGGGGCTGGGGACTCGCAGCCGCAGCCGCCTGTGTGTGCGCCCTGCGCCCTCCCGCAGTGGCCAGGCCTGCCTGGGGCCGCGCCAGGACCGCGAGCCCTGCCCCAGCCGGGACTGCCCGAGTGAGGAGCGCGGGGAGGGCGGGGCGAGGAGGGCAAGGGGGCCGGGGCGGGGCGAGGAGACCCGGCCGACCTCAGGCGCCAGAGCCTGCCTGGGGTCTTGCTCGATGCTCTCAGTCTCTGACTTCCCTGTCGCTGCCCCAGCCCTGTCTTCCGCTCACCCTCTGCCTCCGAGCTCTTCCCCTCGCGCGCGCGCGCGTGTGTATGTGTGGGTCCAACTCTGGGGAGTCCTGTAGCGGATGCACAGCCATGCCCTGGGAGGCAGCTCTGGGAGGCTGCGTGGAAGAGGCAGCACCCGAAGGGCCAGGAGGGAGGGAGGAGCTCTGACAAGCCTTGGAGGGGAAGGAAGGCCTTGCTGTTGCAGGACCAGGGGAGGGAGGAGCTGGCCAGGAAATATTGCGCGTGTTGACTTGCGAAGGCTTGGGAACGTTTCTGAACAGGGTTTTCCTTCGCCACAGGGGCTGAAGGGTCCACAGTGGAGCCAGTGAGAGGTCTCCCAGGTAGCGCCAGACTCCAAGGTCCTGGGACCCTGCCAGCCTCTTCCACCCCGGCCCTGGATTCCCTGCACTCCCCCCCCCCCCACTTCCTCCCAATTGCATCCTCTCTCTGGCGCTGCTCCTGGGGCGGTGGGAGCCTAGGGCTGACTCATCAGGAGGGACCCCACACCCCGCAGGCGCCTGGGGCCCGTGGTCCCCGTGGTCCCTCTGCTCCCGCAACTGCACTGACCCCGCCCGCCCTGCGTGGCGCCACCGCGATCGTCTCTGCTTGGCCAACTGCAGCAGCGCGGACGCCACCCAGGAACGGCCGTGCAACCTGCCCTCCTGCACAGGTGCGCCCCAGCGTGATTTCCAATCAGGACACCTGACCACACCAGTAGGTGGCTCCAGACCCTCAGTCCTCTGCCCACCCCAACTATGAGTGACGTTCTTGGTTCTCACCACGTGTGTTGAACACAATCTCACGAGATCCCACCCTGTGACTCTGGCATTTCTGTTCCCGTGAAAAAAAGAGAACACAGGCCCAGCCACCAAAGCAACAAACCCCGCCCATATCAGACCCAGACTAGACCCAGAAGAGGGGGCTGCACCCGACCCGTGAAGGGTGAGGAGAGGCTGCTGCAGCTCCGCCTCCTCCGCAGAGCCGCTCCTGTGCCCGGGCCCCGGCTGCGTGGCCAGGAACTGCTCCTGGACTGCGTGGGCTCCCTGGGAGCCGTGCTCTCGCAGCTGCGGGGCCGGCCAGCAGCGCCGTCTGCGGGCGTACCGGCCCCCGGGGCCCGGCGGGCACTGGTGCCCCAACATCCTCTCCGCCTACCAGGAGCGCCGCTTCTGTAACGTGCGAGCTTGCCCAGGTGAGCCCGGCGGCCCGCCCCAGCCGCTCACCTTCTCTGGGCTGACGGGGAAGCCACGCCCCCACTGCCCGAGGCACGCCCCTTAGGTGCTGTCTACTCCCGCAGTGTCGGGGGGTTGGTCCCGCTGGAGCCCCTGGTCCTGGTGTGACCGGAGCTGCGGTGGGGGCCGATCCCTGAGGAGCCGCAGCTGCTCTAGCCCCCCGCCCAAGAACGGGGGTGCGCCCTGTGTCGGGGAGCGGCACCACGCTCGGCCCTGCAACTCCATGCCATGCGGTATGTAGCGGTGACAACCCATGCCCCTACCCGCTTCGTGATCCGCACAGCTCTCCACCCACCATCCAGCCTCCTGGCACCACTGATCTGGGTGGGGACAGGCTGCTGCCTCCCTGGCCAGTTGAGAAGGCTGAGACTCCTGGGTCCAACAGCTGGGCCTGCTGTGGGCCCAGAGGTTCATGGCCCCTCCTACCCTGCTGTTCCCCCCACTCTGGCTCCGACCTCAGTCTCCCCCAAAGCCCAGAATGGAACTGATTCTCTCTGTTTCTTCCCACCGGAGTTACTGAAGCAGCAGTCCCGGGTCTCAGCTGAAAGTGTGCCTGGTATCCCCACAGATACCAGAAGCTGTGCTGAGCCCCCTTCTGCCAGCTTCTCCCATCACTGTCCTTGTTCCTCGCGAGGCCTCAACACCTCCATGAGGACATGTCCGTTGAGATGGACAAACTCAGCCCAACACACATCTCATCTCAGGCCTCCCCAGTCCCTCCTGGTGCCAACACCGGGAAACAAAGGCCTGAGCTCCCTGGAGGGAGGGTGGGACACAGGGCAGAGGGCTTTGGGCCCTGGCTCAGCCCCACTGACCTGTCCCCACTGGCTCAGAAGGGGACTGCCCGGCTGGCATGGAGGTGGTCAGCTGTGCCAACCGCTGCCCTCGCCGATGCTCGGACCTCCAGGAAGGGGCCGTGTGCCGGGACGACGAGACCTGCCAGCGTGGCTGCCGCTGCCCCGAGGGTAGGCGTGATGCACAGGGGTGCTGGGAAGGAGGGCCCAGGGCCAGCACCAGCTCCCTACCCACCGACCCCTCCCCAGCAGGATCCCTAGAGCAGGGCGGTGGCTGTGTGCCGATTGGACACTGCGAGTGCACAGATGCCCAGGGGCGCATTTGGGCCCCGGGCAGCCGGCGCCAGGAGGCCTGTAGCGACTGCACGTGCCAGGGGGGCCGGCTCTCCTGCACAGCCCGGTCCTGCCCACCGCCCACCTACTGTGCCTGGAGCCAGTGGTCAGCCTGGAGCCCCTGCAGCCGCTCTTGTGGGCCTGGAGGGCAGCAGAGTCGCTTCCGGTGCGGGGCTGGGAAGGCTGGGGCCCCCTCCCCACCATCTGTCTCCCTTGTAGAGTCCCTCCCTGCCCTGCTCTTCTGGGTGACAGCATCCACCCTGTGCCCAGTCCAGCCTTTCTTCCGAGCCCCCTCTCCACCAGTGGTGGGTTTCCTGCTGGTGCGGGTGGGAGTCCTGGCCTCTCACCTCCCTGCCCGGCTGTCAGGTCCTCCACATCGGGCTCCTGGTCCCCCAAGTGCCGGGAAGAACAGTCACAGAGCCAGACTTGCCTGCAGCCCCCCTGCCCACCCCTGTGTGTGCAGGGCACCCACATCCGCACCCTGGGGGACAGCTGGCTGCAAGGGGCGTGTGAGCAGTGGTGAGTGAGGGGTGAGGCGAGGGAGGGTGAAGCCCCCCCCCACACACCTCTGAGCCTGGGCCTCCTCCCTCAGCTCCTGCACCCCAGAGGGCGTGATGTGCGAGGACACCAGCTGTGCAGGTCGGAGATGTCACCCCACCCATCCACCCAGACCTAGGCCCTTGGGCCTTCACTCCCTTGGACTCTCTGACCAAAGCCCTGTCCTCACACAGGACCCGAGGCCTGGACGCCATGGTCCTCGTGGTCCAGCTGCCCAGTCTCCTGTGGAGGTGGAAGCCAAGTTCGAACCCGGGTCTGCACGACCCTGGCCTCTCTCCCCAGGGGACAGCCATGCTCAGGCCCAGACTCCCAGACCCAGCCCTGTGGGCAACAGCCTTGCCCAGAGCTGCCCAAGGCCTGCTCCTGGGGGCCGTGGGGGCTCTGCTCCCGAAGCTGTGGCCCTGGCCTGGCCTCCCGCTCTGGGTCCTGCCCCTGCCCAATGTCTGAGCCAGACTCCACCTGCAATGTCACCTTCCTGCACCTGGACACCCGGGCCTGCTACCCCCAGCCCTGCCCAGGTGAGTGTGCCCAGGAGGGGAGACCCGCTACCACATCCTGGGAGTATTCAGGAAGAAATGTGGACCTTCCCAAACCCAGACCATACACCCCCCCCCATAGTTTGGGTTGCTCCTTTCCTCCTCCCGCCGTCCCTTCCCTTTGAGATGAGACCCTCCTGGCTGGGTGAGGGGGGTCCCCCAGCTGGGGCTCTTCTGAATTCTTGGTTCCTCCTGCCCTTTTCCCGTGTGAGGTCTTGGCTTGGGCTGGGCGCAAGGCTGAGAGGCGGGTAGGGAGGGGAGGCCAGAAGGGGTCCTAGACGGTCCCTGGCTGACCCCTGTGCTCCGACCCCAGAGGCATGCGTTTGGAGCAGCTGGAGCAGCTGGACGAAGTGCTCCTGCCGAGTACCGATACAGCAGCGATCCCGCCACCAGGTGCCGGCGCCCGGGGGCGGGGAGGGCACGCCCTGCACGCGCCTCGACGGCCACTTCCGGCCCTGCCCCCCCAGCAACTGCTCTGGTGAGGTCTCCCAGCAAGACGCTAGGGGGTGCTCTCAGGCAGACCGCTAGGTCCACCCAGACCCTCAAGGTGGCTGCCACTGCCACCCCGACCCCTGCCCCCGCTGCCGCCCTGACCTCTGCCCTTCAGCCTTAACTTCTGCCCCCTGCGCTCCCTGACCTCTGCCCTCTTCTCCCACGGCTACTCTCCCGCCCCCACATCTTCTCTCCCCACCCCTCTCAGTTTCTCCTGAAGAGCAGTGAGTGCTGCCTGCCTCCTGTTTGGCTGCCCTTCCATCTTGGCCCCCATCGCCCCCCGCCATGCCCTGCCCTCTGGCCCCACAGCCCCCTCCTCCCTGTGCTTCCTGGCTCTGTGTTGGACACTCCCAGATGAGCTCAGCAGGGGCTGGGTGGGCACTGTGTGGGCACCTCTCTCTCCACTCACCCCTAGAGGACAGCTGTGCACCTCCCTTTGAGTTCCGGGCCTGTGGCTCCCCCTGCGCTGGGCTCTGTGCCACCCATCTGCAGGGGCAGCTCTGCCAGGACCTGCCTCCCTGCCAGCCCGGCTGCTACTGCCCCGAGGTGAGGGGGTTCGGGCGCCTGGTCCTGCTTGGCAGCACGAGGCACCGCCTGGAGAAGGTGAGACACGGCCCTCCCGGCCTCCCTCCGCAGGGGCTGCTGGAGCAGGCAGGAGCCTGCGTCCCTCCAGAGCGGTGTCACTGCCTGCGCATCCCGGGAGGGGCGGCTGGGATGGCCCTGCCCCCGGGGGGCCGCCTGTGGCTAGGCTGTAAGGAGTGGTGAGTGAAGGGAAATGGGAGTCCCCGGGAGGACAGGGCCGAGGCGCAGCTGTGGGCAGTGGGCCACGGGCCTGCAGCTCTCTCACCTACTGCAGGGCCCGCACTCTGAGGCCCTCTGTTTCCCCCACCATGGCGGCACCCACTGCCTTACTTGTCTCCCACAGCGAGTGCCAGCACGGAGAGCTGCGGTGCATCAGTGAGGGTTGCCGAGGTAACAAGGGCCTGGGGACACACGGCCCCGAAGGTCAGACCCACCCTGTCCCGCTCACCCACCTGCTGGAGCCGCCTGTACTGTGGAGGGTCTCTGCACATCCCCCACACGTGGCCCTTCCTAGGTCTTCTGCCCCTGAGCAGCTGGTCTGAGTGGACACCCTGTGGGCCCTGCCTGCCCCTCAGTGCGCTGGCTCCAGCCTCTAGGATCGCCCTCTGGGGGCGCTGGCCCCAGGACCTAGGCCGCCTCCCCCCCACCTCGGCCACCCTGCTGGCTTCGGAGCAGCACCGGTACCGCCTCTGTTTGGATCCTGAGACGGGGCAACTCTGGGCTGGGGACCCTCAACTCTGCACTGCATCCCTCAGCCAGCAGCGCCTCTGCCCTGATCCTCGGGCCTGCCAGGGTAATGGGGGGAGAAGGGGCCTAGGGTTGATTTTAGTGACCTGGAGGTTATCTGACCTGCTACCCCATCTGCTCTAGGGCTCTGGGGATCGCTGGGGGTGGACTGAATCCAGGCAGCAGTTAGACATCGGAAGAGGGGGCCCAAGGCTGCAGCAGGGAAGGCAGGAGCAGTGGTCCCTGGGCACTGACCTACATTTTGTCTCCCCCAGACCTGTGCCAGTGGGGTCCTTGGGGCCCCTGGAGCCCCTGCCAGCTGCCCTGCAGCGGGGGGTTCCGCCTGCGCTGGAGAGAGGCAGGGGGCACCCCTGGAGGAGGCTGCCGGGGGCCGTGGGCTCAGACTGAGGGGTGCAACCTGGCCCCCTGCCCAGGTACCATGTCCATCCCGAGGCTGGCAGGGAGGGGAGGGTGCTGTCCTGGGCTGAGACCCCCACAGACCGTGCCTCTCTCCCCAGGGGCAAGCTGTGCAGCCCGGGGTGCTGAATTCAGCCCAGGCTGTGCCAACCAGTGCCCGAGGAGCTGTGCTGACCTCTGGGACCGAGTGCAGTGCCTGCAGGGGCCCTGCCGCCCAGGTAGGCCCCATCCCAGCCTGGGCGGGGAGCACAGGGCTCCTGGGCTGGTCCCAGGGCCCTGATCTGGTGGGGGGCTAAGATCTCTGGGCTGAGGGTGGTTGAGGGAAAGTGGATTCCTGAGTCACTTTCCAGCACGGCCCAACTCTGTGTGCACTTGGTGAGCTGTGTCCATGGGAACACCCAGACAGGGAGACAGGGCCAGGCCCTTTGGGGTACAAGGGGCCCAGTCACAGGGCTGGGCCTTTCCTATGGTGGACAGTGTGGAGACCCATGGGGGGAGCCCGCTCGAGTCCAGGGTCTTCTTTGCCTCCACCACCAGGCTGCCGCTGCCCCCCGAGCCAGCTGGTTCAGGATGGGCACTGTGTGCCCATCTCTTCCTGCCGATGCGGCCTCCCCAGCCACAATTCCTCTTGGGAGCTGTCTCCAGCTGAGGTCCTGCAGCTGGGCTGCCAAAACTGGTACTGCAGCCGCTGGTGCTGGGCTGGGGGCCGGGGCCAGGAGGCCGGAGGAAGGGACATGGGGTTGGGGCAGGGGGAAGGGGGCAGGAGCCACTTGTGGGCAGGGGCACTTTGGGTAGGGGGCTGGGTCTATTTGTGGGCAGTGGACAGGGGCAGGGCCAGGGTTTGTGGGCATGGCAGGCAGAGTTGTGGGCACCCTGACTGGGCTTGAGCTCATTTCCCTCCCCCTCCCCCAGCACCTGTGTCAATGGATCCCTGGCGTGCCTACCCCGTGAGTGCCCTGTCCTCGGCCCTTGGTCAGCCTGGAGCAACTGCTCCTTGCCCTGCGGTGGGGGCACCATGGAGCGGCACCGGAGCTGCAAGGGGGGCCCCTGGGGGGCACTCTGCCTGGTCCAGGACACAGAGCAGCGTCGAGAATGTAACCTTTGGCCCTGTCCTGGTGAGTGCCCAGGGGTAGGCACTGCCTTCCTCTACCCAGCTGGCCTTCCCCAAGCCCCACATTAGGGCACTGTGTGCGGGCTCTGCCCTGCTGGGTCGTTCAGAGGCTGAGAAGGCATACTAACCCTCTTAGTGCTCACCGGAGAACAGTTAGAGACGAAATACAGTGTCCGGATCACACACAGGATGTGAGACAGGTGGACAGAATTTGTCAGGGGAGACCTGGATGGGCCCTGGTAGTATTTGGGTGGAGGTCAGGGGGGTGCTCAAGGAGAAGGTGGGGACAGGGGGCCCACTGGAGCCAAGGAGGCATCGTGGAGGGAAGAGGGTGGGCAGCAGGGTGGACGCTAGAGCCAGGACTGACCTGATGGTGGGGTCTTCTCTGGCAGAGTGCCCCCAGGGGGAGGTGTGGCAGACAGTGGCCCTCAGAGAGCTCAGGCCCTGTGAGCCAACGTGCCGGGAGGTGAATGCCACAGAAGCACCGCAGAGCGACTGCAGCATGGGACGGGCGGGCTGTGTGTGCCAGCATGGACGCTTCCGCAGCCAGGCAGGCCTCTGCGTCCCTGCAGACGGCTGTGAGTGCTGGCACCGTGGACGTCCCCACCCGGTGAGATGCCTCCCTTGCCCCACCCATTGACCTTAGGCCTCCCTCCCTAGAGTTTGTATCTCACTCCTGGGGATCCTCCCACAACTCCCTGAGCCTGCAGTAGTAGCCTGGGCCCGGCCATCACCCTGGATAGCTCCCCTGGGCCTGGGTTGGACATGCTGGCTCTGGCATCAAGGGTCCATCCCCCCAAAGCTCTTGCGACTCCACTGCAGCCCTGGCCCTGGCCCTGGCGTGGCTTCCACGTTGGGTCTGGGGATGGGGCGTTATTATAGAAAAGTGCGGGTAAGAGCAGTCAAGAGGAGTGTCCCCACCTTCTCCAGCCCGGATCTGAGTGGCAAGAGGCCTGTGAGAGCTGCCGCTGCCTTGCTGGGAGAAGCGTCTGCACCCAGCATTGCCCCCTGCTCACCTGTGCCCAGGTACCACCTGCACCCGTGCTGCCCTCCCCACATGGCTTCAGGCATCTTCCTGGCCCCTCACTGTGCCTGGGCATGGCACCCTCCTGAGTGGGTTGGGCCTGCTCCCACAGGGTGAGGTGAAGGTCCAGGAGCCGGGGAGCTGCTGCCCTACCTGCCGACAGCCGACACTGGGTATGGAGAGCCTGGGGCGCCTCCTGCATGCCCCTGCCTGGTCTGGGTCCTTCTCTCAACCTGTGCCCATGCCCGTCCAGGGGGTCTTTCAGCCTGGCTCACATGGAATCAGGAGCGTGGAGACACCCCCCGCCCCATGCTCCCGAGACCACACCAGCCCTCCCAAACCTCCTGCCTTACTCACCTGCATCCTGCCTCCCCCACAGAGGGGCCGATAGCCTCCTGCCAGCGTGTCATGGAGCTGCGCAACCTCACCAAGGGTCCCTGCCACCTGGACCAGGTGGAAGTGAGCTACTGCAGCGGGCACTGCCCATCCAGCACCAACGTCATCCTTGAGGTGAGTGGGTCTGCACCGTGTCGGGAACACCGCTCCCACCTGCCCCCTGCGCACACTGCCCCCAAACGACCACGTCGCCTGCAGAGCTAAGCTTAGACCCTGAGACAGAGCCCCTTGTGCAAGGAGTGCATGCTCCAAAGGGCAGAAAGTTACAAATAGGACTGCCCAGACACGTGCAGGAGCATGTCCCCGGGGCCACCAGTCCTGAGCGGGCTCTCTCCTGTGTGCTCTTAGGGCTGGTTATCTGCAGGCAGGTCTGGTCACTGCAACCTGACCTCAGGGTGGAGGCTATGTCCATCCCCATCTCTCAAGTGGGTGGGGGCTACAGGAGGCGGTGGGCATCTTGGAGGGCAGGGTGGGGGATCCCCCTCTCCACCGGCGGCCCCGCTCTCGCCCAGGAGCCCTACCTGCAAAGCCGGTGCCAATGCTGTAGCTACCGCCTGGACCCAGACAGCCCCGTGCGTGTCCTGAGCCTGCGCTGTCCCGGCGGCCGCGCAGAGCCCGCGGTGCTGCCGGCCATTCTCAGCTGCCACTGCAGCGCCTGCCCGGGTAAGGGGGCGAGCGGTGGGGCGGGGTTGTAGGGCGGGGTGTGGGGGGCGGCGGCTGTCCTGGCAGCTCAGCAGGCACTTTGCTTTGGCCCTCACCTCCTGAGGCCACGTGGCCTCTGCCGCTAGCCCTTCTCCCCTCACTTGCCCCCCAGGAGGTGATTTCTCAAAGCGCTGACAGCACCGTCGTGGCTGTACCTGTGGGCACGTACATACCTGTTCATGGCCCTGAGCAGCCCCGTACCCGCCTACCGGGCCCCATGTCCTGGCGCTAACGTATCCCAATAAAGTACACCGGTAGCAAGTCCTTGTGTGGTGTCTCCTTCCTGGGGCCCATGGGAAAGGGATGAGGGTGGGTCTGAGCCCTGGCCTGGACCTGCAGAAAGTCCAGGGTCCTGGGGTTTGCTGCACATCTGCCACACTCTGCCTGGTCATCTGGACAAGTCACTCCCCATCTCTGATGAGTTCCATTGCATTCCACATTCCCGTTTACTTAAGTCACCAGAAGGCCAACCCTCCCACCATCCTTATCGGCACACTTGCCCCCATCCTGCTTGTGAAACCCCGGGTCTTTCCCAGGTCCCCTAGGCCCTCTCACTGGCCAGCTGAACCTACTGATTTGCCATCAGTAAACCCTGCTTTATTGGCTACATCACCAGAAGCTTCTTCCGCCACCAGGTTATGACTAAAACTAGGTTATCTGTCCCCCAAAGTCTCTCCTTCACCTGGAAATGGATATTTTCCCACGTCCCACCTCAGGACCAGGAAGGGGACACTTGTCTCTGTGACGCTGCTGCTGACCATTTCTGCTGAGCCGGCTCCCACTCCTCCTCCTGTGTGCTCTGGCCATCCAGCACAGAGGTGTACCACCCTCTCCCACTCCCAACTGCCACCTGGCCACGCCCCATCCTCAACAGAAAGTTCAGCTCAAGGATAATTGTCTAATTACATCACTGCAGATAGAAGGAAATTATAGTTTGTATTTGCTTCTGTACAGTACCATTGCATTCTGCACATAAACATACCCACTAATCGACTGTGTGGATCATAACAAACTATGGAGAACATTGTGAAGAATAGGAATTCCAGAACACTTAATTGTGCTCATGAGAAACCTGTATTGGACCAAGAGGTAGTCATTCAAACAGAAAAAAGGGGTACTTCATGGTTTAAAGTCAGGAAAGGTGTGTGTCAGGGTTGTATCCTTTCACCATACTTATTCAATCCATACGCTTAGCAAATAATCCGAGAAGTTAGACTATATGAAGAAGAAGGCAGCATCAGGATTGGAGAAAGACTCGTTAACAACCCGTGATATGCAGATGACACAACCTTGCTTGCTGAAAGTGAAGAAGACTTGAAGCACTTATTGATGAGGATCAAAGATTACAGCTTTCAGTATGGATTACATCTCAACATAAAGAAAATAAAAATCCTCACAACTGGACCAATAAGCAACATCATGATAAACGGAGAAAAGGTTGAAGTTGTCAAGGATTTCATTCTATTTGGATCCACAATCAACACCCCTGGAAGCAGCAGTCAGGAAATCAAATGATGCACTGCACTTGGCAAAACTGTTAAAAAGCAAAGATGTCACTTTTAGGAGTAAGGTGGGCCTGACCCAAGCCATGGTGTTTTCAATCACCTCATATGCATGTGAAAGCTGCACAATGAATAAGGAAAACCAAAGAATTGATTCTTTTGAATTATGGTGTTGGTGAAGAATATTGAATGTACCATGGACTGCTAAAAGAACAAACATCTGTCTTGGAAGAAGTACAGCCAGAGTGCTCCTTAGAAGCAAGGATGGCAAGACTTCGTCTCACATACTTTGGACACATTATTAGGAGGGACCAGTCATCCCTGGAAAAGGACATCGTGCTTGATAAGGTAGAGGGTCAGTGAAAAAGAGGAAGCCCCTCAATGAGATGGATTGACACAGCGGCTGCAACAGTGGGCTCAAGCATAACAAAGATTGTAAGGATCGGGCAGTGTTTTGTTCTGTTGTGCACGGGGCACTCTGAGTCAGAACCGACTCGACGACACCTAACAGCAATCACAATGAATTCATGGTAACCAATGCCTCAAATGCTTTCTATTTTGCTGAAATCCTTGGTGAATTGTTATGTCAGTGTTTAAGTGTATTAGTGGTATTTGAGGGAAATGGTTGAAGTTTTTGATGTGTCAGGAGCATCTTATTATTTCCATTTAAAGTAAGAGGTTTTCATTATCTGAAAATCCACTATTCAACATGTTGTTTTGAAATGCATTGAATTTGGATAACAAGTAATCTCTCTCTCTCTCTACATATATATTTTACCTCTTGTTTGCAAGAAGCAGCTCCACTAACTAAACACAAACTACTTTCAAAGAACCAGCCAGCCAGAGAGGATCCTGTTGTTTTTGCCAGAGACAAGAACCAAAGTTGCAGAATCCGTAAAATTCAAGAAAAGCCTTTGATGCATGATGCAACAAACTAAGAGAGCGGGAGGATGACGAGGCTCGGGTCACATGCCCTCTCCTTGACAGCACCAGCGTAGGGAGGACAAGTCGGATGGGAAGAGCCTAGAGGGTCCCTTTTGCCCGCAACAACGGGAGGGAGATACCTGGATTTACTTTCTAACCAAAATTACACATAATAGAGGTCAGGGTGCTGTCACGGGTGACTAGCTGTCTGACAATCACAAATAAATGGCACTTCTATCACCGTGTGAATCTCTGTCACATTACTCTATGTCCTTTATAGCACATCACCAACATCCGTCATTATTTTATTCACTTGTTAACCTGTTTGTGGTTTGTCTTCCCCACTCGACTATAACCTCTTTACAGGCAAGGACCATGTCAATTTTGTTTATTTGACACAGTGCTTGGTGCTCAACAAACATTTACTACATGAGTAGTGATGTCACCACAATCTACCCAGTCATTCAAGATAGAAACCTGGGAATCAATCTAGACTCCTCCTACTCTCTGAACTTCCACATACAGTCATCAAGTCCTGTCACTATTTCTTTCTAAATATAGCGCTTCTCAATTTGTCCTCTTCTCTCCTGTACATTACCACTGACTGCTCTCAAGCCATTATCTCTCACTCAGACAGTTGCAGAAGTCTCCTCATTGGTCTTCTTTCTTCTGGTCCTTTCCCACTTACATTCATCCTCTATTCTGCAGTAGGATTAACCTAACTAAAGTACACATTTGACCACACCACGCACCATCTTACAACGCCTTTCAAACTCCTTACTTAAGATAGCGTACAATGCCTTCCACATCCAGTCCCTGTGTATCTCTCCAGAGTCATTTCCCATCACTTCCTGCCTTATGCGGCTTCCCTGCAGACACTATTTCTCACCAACCTGACTCTGCTCATGCTATTTCTTATGTTCAGTTTCCCTTCCTAGCAACACTCCTCTTCCCCTCCTTAACCTGGTTAATTTCTACCCATTGCTTTAGTTCGGTCCATGTACCACCTGCTCAGAAAATCTTTGACCCACCACTGTATCTCCCACCTTGTAAAAGGGTAGTAGTAACAGCGTCAGAACCTGTCTAACTTCAGGGACGATAATGAGAATCAAGATCAGCCCAAGGCTAATCCCTATGAGGTGGAGATCAGACATACCTCCACTCTCCAACCCTGACACCAGTTCTGACACAAGCCATCTTCCCCATGGCACTGTCTACTTCTCTGCTGGGTTCAATAATCTGTTGTAATGGCCACAGACCATACCTAAAGTGGTTTATTAAGAAAGTAACAGAGTATGACTTGGGATCAGGCTACAACTCAGAATCAGGATCAGGAAGCACGCAGGCAAAGTCTGGAAGGCTCCTCCAAAGAGGAGAGCACATCCCTCCCTTCTTCAGTGCAGGACAGCTCTCTCAGCTTCTCTCGGAGTGCAGGCAAGCAGGCCCTTCTCTCTGCCATGCACGCCCCCTCTCAGCCTTGCAGGTTTCCTCTCAGCCCCCTGAGGACATGCCTCCTCTCAGCCCCTTCAGAACTGGCCTCTCTGCCTTCAGCCTCCCTACCATCAGCCTCTCCACAGCTGACTGACCCAGCTCACAGCCAGTGTAGTAGTTTTTCAGCTGCATTCCTAGCAGCAGGCTTCTGCTGACACCACCGACTCTGCTGCAGGGCCCCTTCCAGGTCTGTTGCCACAGGCTCTGCCACAGGGCCCCTTCCAGGCCTCTCGCTGTCTTCAGTGTTACAGCCCTTGACCTGTGTTACAACTCTTTCAGGAGGTTCCTTGCCTCCTCTCTCTTCATCTCTCTTTTCTTTCTTCCTTCTGCTACTGTCTGCCCACCTCTCTGGTGTTGACTGCAAATATAAGCAAACTCCTCGTCAATTTCAGGGCATGGCCGTCTCACCAGGGCCGCAAACTGACCAATCCCCTCTTGGTGGGCCACAGACACTTCATTTGCATAGTAGGCTACAGTCGCTTCATTTGAGTAAGTATATTGACCAATCACTGCAAGGTGCATACCAATCACAGGGCAGGCTGCAGCCCATGACCAGACAAAAAGAATTAAACAAGTTGTTTACAGCTTACCTAGCAAATGTCAATCAACCTGGACAAAAGCAACGGACTCTCTGCAGTAGAAGACGAGGGCAAAGATTGCTCCTCACGGGTTAGGGGAAAAAATCTCTCAAGCTGTTTTTCCAAAGAACCAAGGCAAAAGGCCACATGAGGCACTCATTTCACCACACCGCTCCACCTCATTCTAAGGCACTCTAATAGCATCTTGAGCTTACCTCTGTCATTGCCTTTATCTCTTTATAATTATCCGTTTCTGCGTCTTTTTCCTCAATAAAGTATGAGTTCCTTAAGGACAATGGCTTTATCTCATTTATCTCCTTCTTCCCATAAGCTAGCAGAGTGCCTGGCACATGGTAGGCAACCAATGATGTTTTTTGAATGAATGCAAGAAAAAATCTTGTCTTTCTTGATTAAATAAGGTCTGGGACCTTCAAGGTTGTCATCAGAAGCCCAGAAATGCAGAGCAGACACAAGAACGAGGATCCCATTGCTCAATCAGAGTACTGCCTTTGACATTCCCTCGCCGTCACGGTTACGCCCTCGTGCACGGCGAAGCGGGAAGGGCGGGAAGCGAGCTCCTCTGCATCCAATCAGGGACCCGAATTCCGGGAGCCAATAGCCATTTGAGAGGGGCTCACCAAGGCCAGACTACGCTTCCCGTGAGGCCCCGCGAACCTCGGGGCGGGGCGGCTGCCGTAAAGCTGCTCGTCCGGCGCGACGCTGGTCCCGGCTGCGCGCCCCTGGCGCTCAGCGAGCGCCGCCGCCCCATCCGAGGGCGCGAAGCTCCCGTGCCGAGCCGCTCCCCGCCAGGGCGCCTCGCCCACCCGCCTCCTCCCGCCCCGGGGTCGTAGTCCACAAAGTGGTGGCGGCGGCGGCATCCTCAGGCCAGGGGGGGTGGGGGTGGCCTGGAGGCAGTGGAGGGGTCAGCACGGGCCACCGAAAGCGGGGCCATGGAGGCCAGGGAGTCGGGGAAGGTAGGACTGGAAGTGCCCTGGGCCGCCCACTCCCCTGTTGTCGATCCCTGGTCTGGGATCCGGAGAGCCAGTGCGGTGCGGGCGGAGACCCCTTGGATGAGCCAGCCTTGCAGGCAAGCACTCGCCCGCTCGCCGGCTGTCTCTTAGCACTCCCGGCGGCCGCCTTTGGGCAGTGGCGAAGAGAGGAGCAGACGCACTAACTCCGCGTCTCGCGCATCCCGGTGGCTGGCCGTACCTTCCTTGGCAAGTGGCTGCTCTCGTGATGCTGGGGTGGGTGACCCGCTAAGTATAGTGATGTGAGTGCGTCCTGTTTCCCCACACCACCGTGGCTTTATGAAGAGGCCCCGCTTGCTTTAAGGCTTTGAGGCTGGATAGGATGCCAGTGGGAGCCAAGAGGTAGGGATCACTTAGGCAGGGTGAGGGCTTGGACCTGCCTTGTACCCATTTCCCAAGAAAGGATTGAAAAGAAAAATAGGGCATCTGGCATATGTTTTGCCGACTTTCTGTTTCTAGCTTCATGGAGTATCAGGGCATTGCTTAGATGCATATTCAAAAAATTTGTTTCAGGCTTTGGGCGAGAGGCTTTCAGTTGGAGGAAAAGGTGGAAAATGCTTGGAGGTTAAGTGGATTTGACAGGATTGCTAGAGCACGGAGGCAGTCTCAGCCAACCAACGTGGTTTTAAGCACGTGACTTGGAGACAGTGTCAGCCTCTTGGGACTAAGAGCTTTCTGGATGTTCTTTGCTGCCAATGCTTGAGGATTGTTCTTTCTTTGGCACAGAGGTAATTCCCTCAACAAACATTTTGGAGTGCTTATTGAGTCCCTCTTTTTCAATGAAATTGTTTATTTTATAAACATTTGTGGCCTGTGATTTACATTGAGCTAGATGCTGGCAGTACCGGGATAAATATGAAACGACCACTTTCCTCAAGAAGGAGCTGTGGTGCCTCAGTGGTTAAAGCACTAGGCTGCTAACTGAGAGGTCGGTGGTTGCGAGCCACTCTACGGGAGAAAAGACTTGGCAATCTACTCCTGTGAAGACTATAGCCTAGAAAGCCCTATGGGGCAGTTCTACTCTGCCCTAGGGTCACTATGACTCCAGGGCACACAACAACTTTCCTGAAGGAGTCCTCATGCAGTTTTCACTTAAGTGATTTGGAAAAACCTGGACGGGATAGCCCACAAACAAAAGAGGAAAAGGATAATGAGAGGATTTTGCTGCTGTAGTTTTTCCTAGAAAGACTGGGAAGGACTCTGAATTACAAAGGAAATTATTCCTTGCTCCAACCTCCTTCCCCACCACAAGCCACAGTGATGCATTGTCCAAACAAAACAACCTGCAAAGCTCACAGTCCGAGACAATGAAGCTCCACAGAGCCTAACTAAAGAAAGATTGAAGTTGACTTTTGTGCCAACCTCATGTTAAGCACTCTGGGGGATACAAAAAGTAAAGCAAATGGCCCTCATCCTCAGTAATATCCCCAGATTAGTTTAGATCGAATCTGATTTTGGATGAGGGAGAGCAAAATGTAGTGGGGAAGAAGGATTATAAAAAATTGGCATTGAGAATTAGATGGGCAAACTTTGGCCTTTCTACTTCTGAGAATGATTTGAAATCAATTTTCAAGCTATTCTGTTCAGTTCTAGGCTTTCTTAGCCTTTAATGGAAGAGGAGAGAAATACGAACAGTTTGGGAGGTAAAGAAGAAATTTGATGTTGTTTTCAGGCCCAGCCACTAATTGTAAATCCTGGTGACTGGAAATTGCACCCTTGATTCTAATCTTGATTGCAGAGTGTATCATAAAGGTTTTCACCCTTCCCAAGTGTGTGAGTTGTCTAACTTGGGACATGCGAACGTTATCCAAAGATAAATAAAGTGATCGCAGAACAAACTGGTGGTGTAAGATGTGTTGCAAGGCAGTGATGATAATTAAGACCTGGATGGAATGACTCCATTCTGAATATCGATTTTTGGCTCATAGATGGGAGACTGGGAGCCCACTTGAAGTAGTGGCTTGGTCTATCAAATAGAACCCTCATTTGCTGGTATGTAGTGATATATGGAGCTCTGGTGGCACAGTGGTTTAGAGGTTGGCTGCTAACCAAAAGGTTGGCAGTTTGAATCCACCAGCTGCTCCTTGGAAATCCTGTGGGGCAGTTCTGCTGCGTCCTGTAGGGTCACTGTAAGTTGAAACAACTCAAAAGCAATGGGTTTGAGTTTTGTTTTGTTTTGTTTTTTTCTTTTTAGTGATATTTGTGAACTGAAAACAATCTTGGGCCATTTGATTGAGTGTGGGGTGTCTTATGAGTCACTGGCAGAATAATGGGTAGAGGTCAAAGACTCTTCCCCATTACTGTTTACTCCATTACCCTGATCTGTTTTCTTCCGTGGCCTTATCACTATAAAAAGTCATCACATCACGAAGTCAGCTTGGTAGACTGTAAGTAGGTGGAGGGAAATGGGGAGAATCAGAGGATTTAAAGATCGAGTGTGTAGAGGGAGGAAAGGTACAAAATATGTTGAGTGACTGCAATTATCCTTACCTGGTTGGAGTAGAGATTCCAGGTGGAGCACGAAATTGAGCTGAGGTTGAGAAGATGGGTTAGATTCTGATTGAGGGGACTTTGATGCTGGGCTATGAAGTCAGAGTTTTACCCTGTAGACAGTAGGAACTATTAAATAGAACATCTATTTGTTGTTGTTAGGTGCCATCAAGTCAGTTCCGACTCACAGTGACTCTGCGTACAACAGAACAAAACGCTGCCCGGTCCTGCGCCATCCTCACAGTTGTTGCTGTGTTTGAGCTCATTGTGCAGCCACTGTGTCAATTCATCTCTTGAGGATCTTCCTCTTTTTTGCTGACCCCCTACTTTTTTAAGCATGATGTCCTCCAGGGACTGATTCCTTCTGATAACATGTCCAAAGTACATGAGACAAAGTCTCACCATCGTTGCTTGTAAGGAGCATTCTGGCTGTACTTCTTCCAAGAACATCCAGAGATTCCTTTTATTCAAGCAGATTTGTATTTCCTTTACATTGCACTCAACTGGAATCAGAAGGTTCTTGCCATGATATTGGTTCAAAGAGAGGTACCAGTATTAGTGTAATCACTCTTGTCAGGAGACACTTCTTAGTATACAGCCCTAGCCATGTTCATCATTGTGGAGCTCATAGGCTAAAGCAGTGGGTCTACTGGTTTTCATTATGCCCACCTGTTCACCCTGGAGGAAAGAGTGGGTATGACTAGGGAGCCCTGCATTGTCCTCGGTCACAAAGTTTTTAAGCAGCCTCCATCTGAACAGGTTGCCCTCTAGGCCTGGTGTACAACAGTTATCTTGGGATTCCCCTTCAGTATCATCTTGGAGATTCTCTTCACCTCCTGCACCTGTTAGATCTTCTTTTTCTGGATCTTGGGTGTACTCCTTTCCTGTTTTACTGCCTTGTTTAGTGGAGCCCATCCTCCAGTAGGTTTTTGGTAATACAATCACATTTTGCTTAGGAATACATTCTTAGAGCAAATATTTGTTTAAGTTATATACATTTGGCAGTACAATTCATTTTGTTTTTAAAAACTTTTCATTTTTACATATATGTACACAAAAGGCTGGAAGGTTCTATACCAAATGTAAATAGTAATTCTCTTTGAATGAAGGGATTATGGGTGATCTTAACCTGCTCTCTTTTCTGCTTATTTCTATTATCTAAATTTTCTGCAGTGAACACGTATTGACTCATCATAAGAAAAATACTCAAATTATTTTCTAAATTTACAACTCAATAACAACTAATAGGAGTTATCTATGTTTTTTTTTTCAAGAAACTTCTACTTCTGAAGTTAGAATAGGTATCTCACGTGCCTGAAATTTAAGTATGAAGTTACAAAGCAATTTTAAACATATTAGAACTTATAAATGGAAATGAATATTGTTCCTACAGTTTTGTCACCTGGAGTTTATACTTACTCCAAAGATGCTGCCATTTCCCAAAATGTTGTTTTTCTTTGGAGTGGAGAATTTATTTATTTGCTTATAATTTTATTTTTTATTTCTTTTACCAGGTGATAGATTTTTATGATACAAAATTAAAAAGGATAAGCAGAGAAATGTATTTTGACTATTTCATTTTCTGGTTATTTCTTTTATAACTTTTTATTTTATGGCTGCAATAGCTTACCTATCTGATACTATTAATGGTAGTTTTTTGGTTTTTAAGTTTCCTTCTCCCTGCCTCACTTCCATTTCTTCAGTTCCACCCTACCCCCGTCTGGTATGACCCTGTTAGAACCTTTCCTCAGATGTCTGGTGGTCCAGTTGTTTGATCTGTAGAAGACCTAACATCTAGCTGGCAGTTCTCAGCACGAGGGAGGGGCTTGTCGACTAGGAGCCTCCCTGTAGGGGGACTGGGTAGGCATTTGTTAGGGAGCAGCTTTCCCCAGTTCTCATTATTTTAGCCCATCTGCCTTCACCCAAGGCCAGAGGTTTCTGGTGCTGCCAGATCCCAAGCCTCTTGAGGATCGAGTGGTATAAATTGGGTTGTTTCTCAGCTTTGCCCACAGCCAGTTTGGGGTTCGATTTTCTTGGATCAGCTCAGTTACTACTTCTTATCTGCTTTGCATTTTCCAAAATTGTATTCTTATTTGTCTCCTCTCTTGTGGTCCCCATCATTGTGGGTTTTTTGTTTTGGGATTTTTGGAGTTTTTTTGGTGAACTCTTTTAAATTCTTGGGAGGGAACAAAATTAAATGTACTTGTTCAGTCTGCCGTCTTAATCCAGAACTCCCCAAAGAGTTTTCTGAAACCTCTCCCTGCTTTTTCTCCCACTTGTTTGTAGTAGTTCTCAGATCTAAAGCTTTGCCTATTTGATCATTGACTTCATTCACAAACATAGCTCTAAATGACTTCTGACTATTTCTGGAAACAGATACGTCCTCCTAGATAACGATTTACCATGTTCAAGATTATGCAAGAGAATGTGTTATAAATTGTTGTTGAGAGCACTGGTTGAGAAGTAATGGGTCCTGGGGGAAGACAGGTGAGAACATCCAGGGAAAGGATTATGCAATTCTTAAACTCTGGTTGTCAGCCTTCTTTATGACTGTTTTGTTTCAGTGTGTAGCACTTCCCAGAAGAATGAGTCTCCTTCACACTGTGGTTTGCACTCAGGGGCAAGAGAGATGAGGTGTGTAGGTCATGTATGTAGACTGACCCCCCAATTCTGATATATTCCTCTAGTATGGGTGCCCTCAGGCAGTCGTTAACACTGGTGTGGAAGATGCGCCTAAGGAAGAAGTTGCTGCTTAGAAGGTGTGGTTTTTCCTTTCAGGCTCCTGTGACTTTTGATGACGTCACAGTGTATTTGCTTCAGGAGGAATGGATGCTGCTAAGTCAGCAGCAGAAGGAGATCTGTGGTTCTGACAAGCTAGTGACACCACTGGCTATGTTCACTCCGCACCACTGTGAATCTTAGCCAGGCCAGGACATACATGAGAATTTCCTGGGACCCTGTCTTTTTTCTAGGCATCTTTGCACTACCCGTCTGCTCAATCCCATATCTGACCTAATGCACATGAATTCTTACACTGTCCTTTCACTTCTCGCCCATAAATTGGCCAAGAGAGGTGGGGAAATCCAACATGTCAAGTCTAGACCTGGAGGTCTGTCTCCTGGGTGCCTCAGGATGTTCAAGGGCACCAAGTGGGAAGGCCCTGCCTGTGGCTCTGGGAATTGGAGTAAATTTTGTGTCGGGTGCCTGAAGAGCACCAGAGGCAGTTAACTGGTGGAAAGAGCATCAGATTTGGAGTTTGGGAATCAGGAGTCAATCTCAGTCCTAATACTTAATACTTGTTTGACTTTAGCCAAGCCCTTTTTAAGCCTTAATTTCCTCATAGAGTTGTTGTGGAGATTTAATGACATAAAACCCTTTTTTTTTTTTAAACAAATGTACGTATTTTTAATCCATTCTATGTTTCTGAATATCCTCTTCTCTCTGCTTATATGGGTAGACTTTCTGCACCAAGGACAGAGGTAATTGTATCTCAGAAGTATGTACATGCATGTGTACTATTTTGGGATTTCAGTTTGATGAATATCTACCATGCTTTTCTTTTCTGTTTTCATCTTGGTCACTGTCTAGGGTTTTGAGAGCAACAATCCCAGCTCTTTGTGGGTGGAGAGGTTGTAGCTGGGTTGAGTCTTCTTCCTGTGCCTGATGAAAAAGGTCTGAAAATCATTGGTTCTTCTAAGCCAGAAGTTGGACAGGGGCAGCTTAGGAGCCAGATTTGGCCCACAGATTTATTTGTTCATTTGCTTATTTTGGTTTTCACTGGTTTTGTTGGGCTTCTTAAAAATATTTGAATAAGTTGTCACTATTTAAACGTTGGGAGTTTTCACATAAAAAATACGGATTCCTGGTGTCTGTTGAGCAGTGGGGAGATCTGGCAGTGCTGAGCCAGCATTCAGGTGGTCGCTGTCTCCTGGGGCTGAGTGGCCCCTGTACACAGGCCTAAGTGCCTCAATTATAGTCTCCCTGCCCCCAGCCTCGTATGTTGCCTACCCGTCTGGCTCCTCCAAGCGTTTGAGTTTGGGAGCCTCTGTTCTGAACCAACATTTTTCATACCTTTTTAGCCTTGAAGGGGGACACAGAGCCTCTTGCTGTGCCCTTCATTGTTTCTACCAGGTCCTCCTTCTCTCAGGGGCCTCGTGGGTATCTGAGTTTCTAAACTACTGCTCTAAACCATTGAGATTCCTGCTCTCACCTTTAACCCATTACCTTACAATTCCTTGAGGGTGTGACAGACAGATCTGTCCCTGATGTTTCGACCTGGAGCCAGGACCTCATAGTGCTCTTCTCTGTTCCTGGAGCAGGACCGACGATTGCCAACCCAGAGCTGTTCTATAAGCTTGAGCGAGGGGCAGAGCCATGGCTTGGAAACATTCAGGGCCAGAGGAATCTCCTGAATTGTCACCCAAGTAAGTGTGGACCTGTGTGGAGGAGGGACTTCGCTGGAGAGCCAGATGGGAAGCTGGTCACCAGGACTCCTGTCTCATTCTCTCCCAACTAGCACAACTAGTGCGATTCTTCCCCCAACTGTCACCTTATCAGAAATACACACACCTCCCCTACCGTCGTTCTGCAGCTTCTTCACTCCCTTTATTTTATCTCTACCTAAAATTACGTTCTTATTTATAATTGCGTACTGTGAACATAATATGATATGATTATAATATCATATGAGGTCATGACTTTGTCTTATTTATTTCTGGATTCCTGGCACCTAGAACAGTCCCTGGCACATAGTAGTTACATAGTAATCACTGAATGAATGAATAGCTGTCTGCCAAGTTCTGGGGCTTTATCCTTTCTGCCTCCTTTGGTAAGCTTCTCTTGATAGCTTCTCTTAGCTAGAGCCAGGCCAGGGGCACCTGTCATTGTGTAGGATGGCTGAGCCAGCCCAGCCCCCACTGTGGGAGAGAAGTGAGGCAGAGGAGTAAGACCCTGTGTGAAGTGACTCACAGAGGCTTGCTGTCCTTTGGGATCTATCCCGGACAGACCACAGGAGCCCCAGATATCTTTGTGACTCTAATTTAAAGTATCACAGATACTCGTTTGTTTTGTTTTTCCTTGCTTGGCTCTTAATTTTGAGTCTGATGACCCTTTATTGACAGCTTTGTGCTCTTGAAGTTAGTTACAATTTTGTAGACTGGTCTGCTAACCTGTAACAAATAATAAGTCCTTGGCCTCTGGGCATGTGAACTTATGCTGATGCATGAGGAACAACTCTAAGGAGCAAAATCGAGTTGTGTAAGCTGAGTTCCAGCTAAGGAGTGAATAAAGAAACATCAAGATTAGCTTGAAGAAGAAAACTCCCAGAGAGGGTGTGAGAGTTTTCACCTCTTTGAAGGCTATGGTGTGAGGGAGGGATTAGATTTGTTTCTCGTGAAGGCTGGATCAGCCACTGGGTAGAAGTTACTAAAGGGTGGATTGCAGCTGAAGTAAATGATCTAGGGACCAGACTCCACCCTGGGAGATAGGTAGCTCTTTCCCTGAAGGGACTTAAGCAAAACGCAGATGCCTCTTTCAGGGATCTGGAGAAGGGGATTCCTGATGAGTAAGGAGTTATATTTTGTGGCTTCATACCTTTTTTAATTCCATGTTCTGTTGCTTCCATGTTCTCATCCATAAATGAGTTTTGAATCCTCAAAGATTGTGCCACTATCTTGGGTTGCATAGATCAAACTGCAAAGACCTCCTTTTTGCCTGGTGTGTCTGTCCTTGAAATTACAAAAAAAGGTTTACTTAAAGCCTGTTTGATTTTCTGCTGGATTAGGTAAAGTAGGCCTGGGAAGTTGGGGAGACTGAAAGGAGAGCATTTAAGTAGAGGCTGCGTCACTTTTGACTATGTGATTTGCAGCTTTCATATTGGATATGCCTGAGAGCCTCCATGAGTTTCAATGGCTCTAACTCCATTTGCCCCTTTTCTCTAAAGGAAAAAACAAGATGGGCTACACGGAAGAAATAGATGTGTATGATGCAGCCCAAGAGACTGGACTGTGCCTGCCACCCAGAAGAAAGCCTGTCTTTCCCACTTCTGTGCAGAGAGCGGCAACATGGAGGTCGATTGCGCAGGAGAGAGCACACGGCCAGTGAAGCCCCGGTCTATCCAGAAGTCATGGTTTGCACAGTTTCCGTGGTTGGTCATGAATGAGGAGCAGACGGCTCTGTTTTGCTCTGCTTGCCGAGAATACCCATGTGTCAGGGACAAACGGTCAAGGTTAATAGAAGGTTATACAGGACCGTTCAAGGTGGAGACTCTCAAATACCACGCCAAGAGCAAAGCTCACCTGTTCTGTGTCAGTGCCTTGGCTGCAAGGGACCCTGTGTGGGCAGCCCATTACCAGAGCGTCACAGATACACCTGGAGAGGTGCTGACCAGCCCAGCACACCTGTTCCCTGTGGATTATCCCATGTCATACCTTCCTGGGCCTCTGGGAGACTATGACAATGTGGCCGGGCTCTTGCCAAGCTCTAGAGCTGAGCTGGGGTATGCTGCATTGTATCTAGATTGCATCTCAGAGTTGAGGCAAAAAGAAGTCACTGATGACATCCACACGTCCTCAAACATTGACATTTTATTTGATGACTCTGCCGAATGCTTCAGTCAGGTAATATGTTTATGACGGCTGCTGTATCTTACAGGAAGGATTCCGTGCTGAGAACAGCATATATCGCATCATGATGACTGCATTATAACGGTATAATGTTATTATAAGCTAACATGCTAATTAGGTACTAGATGTTGTTTTAAGTGCTTTACATGTGTGACTTAATTAAGACAACAGCCCTATTATCATCATCTCCTTTTTGCAGATAAGAAAACATCATTTGTGGGACTGAGCATTCTAACTTCTGATATAAAGGGAACACTTAAGAACAGAACAATAATCTTTGTCCAGAATTGAAAACAACCACAGAGCTCAAATAGCCAGATCTTTTTTATCTTAAATAATCAGTTTTTTTTCCTATTAATTTTAACTTTGCAATCATGTAGTACTTTTAAACATTGCAGAGATTTCTCATGCACGTTGTTTTACATAACATTTCTAATGCTGCTGTAATGCTGGTAGAGCAAGTGTCTCTGAGCCTGTCTTGTGGGAAGAAAGCGAGGATTGGGGGAAAGTGACTTGTCCAGAGTCCAGAGCTCTGTGGTGAAGCCAGGACCTACTGTCAGAGCCCTCACTGCTGCTCCAGTGCTTTCTTGCACACCCTGCAGCGCTGTTGAATCCTAAGACACATGAGTTTCACTGTAGGTTTGTTTTATAATTATGTAGTTGTTTGAGAAGCTAGCCTGTAAGGACGCTATATTAACTGGAATTTTTGAACCTTCCCCATTTCTCAATTATTCCATGTAAGTAGGAGTTTACTCCTTACAAATCATTTGTAGTACCCCCTCCAGGATTCCAATTAGAATAACTGAGAGGTTCCTCATACTAACATAAGGGATGAGCTAACGTTAGTAAGCTCAAATTTTTCCAGAAACCAGAAAAATGACACGTACCTGTTATTTAAAAGTATGAGAAGTTAGCTAATAAACAGTTCTAGCCGTTTATTACTGAATTTAAGTACTGTTCTTTATGACTACTTCTTCCTTCCCATCCTGTTCGGAAGCCTTAGCAGGAGATCTGAGACATGGATAGTCACCTTGGCAGTTGTGGCTGAGCAGCAGGCCCCCCTCGTAGGACTGTAAAAGAAAGGTGCAGCCATGCGACCTGCTGAGACACCTGTGCGTTCCATGTGTGTTATTTCCTCCCAGGGGCCTCCAGGGTCTTCCCGAGATGCATTTGGTTTTCACCTGCTAATTCTGGGCCTCGTGAACTTGGTTCTTTGACTTTAGATGGTTAAGTCGATTCCTTACAGCACATCTGGGCCTCCTGGTGAAATGACTGAAGAGGACCCCGGGTGTTGCGCTGGTTAGCTTCAAAGGCACACTGAGTGACTGATGCTCTTTGTTGCAGGACCCTTCTGAAGAGGGGCTCCTTGAGGAGGTTCCTGTGGTGTTTGAGGAGCTGCCTGTGGTGTTTGAGGATGTGGCGGTATATTTCACCCGGGAGGAGTGGGGCTTGCTAGACAAGCAGCAGAAGGAACTGTACAGAGACGTGATGCGGATGAATTATGAGCTGTTGGCATCACTGGGTAAAGATTCACGGGACATCTGTCCCCACCATCATTTGACAGGGGACGCCCACAGGGCAGCCGTGGCTGCTGGTCATCCTCCCATTTCCGCCTTCTTCCTGCTCATAAGCAGAGAGTTAGCATACCTTTCATACCTCAGGCCTCTCCCTGCTTTGGGAAGCTCTTCTTTATCCCTGTCCGTCCATCCATGCATCCATCCATCCATCTGTCTTCCACCAAACATGTATTGAGTGCCTACCATGTGCCCGATGGCATGATGAGGCAAGGTCTCTGCTTTCAAAGGGCTAGCAGGTCTGTGGAGAGACAGACACTTTAATAAGAAACTATAAAATAGCACAAGTTCTATACAAGAGGCTGGGAAAGTACCCCGGGAATACAGAAGGGTGATTTCATCTTGATGGGGGCTGGAGGGAGGGTTCAGGAGGGTTTACAGAGTCTGATAGGTTTTAGCTGCATTTAAAACCAGGTGGACAGGGAATATCTAGACTTGGCTGCGGGAGGGGCCAGCATGAATAAAGTCACTGAGGCAGAAAGGGGCCTTGGCCATAGGCCCTCCACCCTGTGCTATTCCGGCCGAGGCTGCTCTGTCTGCTGGGCGTCTTGGTGTGGTGTCACTGGGTTTGGACACTGGAAAATTATGAAGGTGATGGTTTCTGTTACCTTCTCAGAATGGTGCTCTCATCTCCTGCATCTGTTCCTTTTTCTTCTCTTTGACCCCTTTACTATCAGATACCTGTGGTTCTCACGCAGCCTGGGCTCTTACCAAGATGGAAAGACAACTTTTCATCTTTTTTTTTTTCTTTAATTGTGCTTTAGGTAAAAGCTCAAGTTAATTTCTCATACAGAACTTTATACACATATTGTTCTGTGACCCTAGTTGCAACTGTATAACGTGACAGCACACTCCCCCTTTCCACCCCGGGTTTTCCGTGTCCATTCAACCAGCTCCTATCCCTTTCTACCTTCTCATGCCGCCTCCAATCAGGAGCTGCCCGTTTAGTCTCGTGTATCTGCTTGAACTAAGAAGAACACTCTTCATGAGTATTATTGTATGTTTTATAGTCCAGTGTAATCTTTGTCTGAAGAGTTGGCTTCGGGAATAGTTTTAGTTCTGGGTTAACAGAGAGTTTGGGGGCCATGTCTTCGGGGGTTCCTGTAGTCTTAGTCAGACCATTAAGTCTGGTCTTTTTACGTGAATTTGAGTTCTGCACCACACTTTTCTCCTGCTCGGTCAGGGACTTTGTTGTGTTCCCCGTCAGGGTGGTCATTGGTGGTAGCTGGACACCATCTAGTTCTTTTGGTCTCAGGCTGATGGAGTCTCTGGTTTATGTGGCCCTTTTGTCTCTTGGGCTTATATTTTCCTTGAGTCTTTGGTGTTCTTCATTCTCCTTTGCTCCTGGTGGGTTAGGACCAATTGATGCATCTTAGATGGCCGCTTGCAAGCTTTTAAGACCTCAGATGCCACTCACCAAAGTGGGATGCAGAACATTTTCTTAATAAACTTTGTTTTGCCTATTGACATAGATGTCCCCTGAAACCATGGTCCCCAGACCCCTGCCCCTGCTACTCTGTATCTCAAAGTATTTAGTTGTGTTCAGGAAACTTCTTAGCTTTTGGTTTAGTCCAGATGTGCTGACTTCCCCTGTATTGTGTGTTGTCCATCCCTTCACCTAAGGTAATTCTTGTCTACTATCTTGTTAGTGAATTCCCCATTCACCTCCTCCCCACCCTCATAACCATCAAAGAATATTTTCTTCTGTGTTTAAACCTTTTCTTGAGTTCTTATAATAGTGGTCTCATACAATATTTGTTCTTCTGTGACTAACTAAATTCACTCAGCATAATACCCTCCAGATTCCTCATTGTTATCGTTGTGTAGTATTCCATTGTGTGTATATACTGTAATTTGTTTATCCATTCATCTGTTGATGGGCACCTAGGTTGTTTCCAGCTGTTTACTATTGTGAACCGTGCTCCAGCGAACATGGGTGTGCATTTATCTATTCGTGTGACAGCTCTTATTTCTCTAGGGTATATTCCAAGGAGTGGGATTGCTGGACCGTATGGTACTTCTATTTCTAGCTTTTTAAGGAAGCGCCAAATCGATTTCCAAAGTGGTTGTACCATTCTCCATTCCCACCAGCAGTGTTTAAGTGTCCCAGTCTCTCCACAATCTCTCCAACATTTATTATTTTGTGTTTTTTGGATTAATGCTAGCCATATTGGGGTGAGATGGTATCTCATTGTAGTTTTGATTTGCATTTCTCTAATGGCTAATGATCCATGAGCATTTCCTCATGTATCTGGTAGCTGCCTGCATGTCTTCTTTGGTGAAGTGTCTGTTCATATCCTTTCGCCCATTTTTTTAATTGGGTTATTTGCCTTTTTGCTGTTGAGGTTTTTCAGTACCTTGTAGATTTTAGAGATTAGACCCTGATTGGATATGTCATAGCCAAAATTTTTTTCCCAGTCTGTAGGTTGTCTTTTTACTCTTTTGGTGAAGTCTTTTGATGAGCGTAAGTGTTTGATTTACAACTTTTCATCTTAAAAAGCTTTTGCTTATTGATTGGACTGACATACATTGTAACAGAAACCTCACTGAACAGATCCTGTGTAAACTGGAATTCCAGCAGCTGTCTGCCTCATGACATCTACAGAATAAGACATAGGAACATTTACGACTAATTTATGTAAAATCCTTGCTTACACTGTCCTTTAATGCATAGCTAAGATAAATGTTATGTGTTTACATAGTTTTGACTTATGTATTTATTTTTATCATTGTCATAATTTTTAAACGGCTCCCCAAACCTTCAGAAATTTTTTCTGGTAACAGATTTTGTAATCAGGTCCTGGGCATCTTTAAGAAGTGTGTATTCATAGGGCATGAGTGCCACCTACTGCGTTTAAAAGCAGTGAAGAAGAAGGGGCTGTTGATCTTAAAAAGTACATATGCACTCACCTGTGCACCTGAGTTTGTTCTTCCTTTAGGGTTATCACCAGCCCTGATACACTTTCACTTCTGGGGCATGGGTGGATAGCCGGGGTGACAGTGATCACAGTCAGCACAGAAATGATGCTGCTCCCACATCTATGACTGACTTGGATTGTTCAGCTTATAACTTGCTGCTTCAAGTTTTGTGTTTTGACAGAACATGGTATAAACATTTTATTATTTTCTTTTCACTTTACATAAATTAGGAAGTGGGAAATCTTAGCTAACCAGGATAAATTAAAATACAGCTCAGTTTTGATTAAGTTTTGTTTGGATGGAAAAAAAATCAGAGAAAGAGTGATTGATTTTGCTTGAAGGTTGGGAAAAAGAATCAGGGAAGGCTCTGTAGAGGATGAAGCTTGTCCTGTCAACTGTCCGTGAGATTAACGTGGGCATCTGCGTCTAGAAACAGAATTGCATGTGTGTGATTTCTTTTAAGTACTTTAACTAGGTCTCTTGCTATTTTCCTTTAACTGTCCCTCACTTTAAAGAAATTTTTACATTTGAGATATAAAAGAATTTTAAGGAGTCTTGAGAATGTCGCCTGGACCTATGTGAATGGTTTGTATGCCCAGTGATCTTTTAAAGGGCATCAAACTGATGATTGAGATATAAACCAGTGCTGAAATGCAGCATCGAGTCTCTAAATTTATTTTTGCCTTGTCTGGTTTTTTTATCTTCCATACTTTATTCCCCTGAGGCAAATGCTTTCAGAGTTGAAAGCTAAATATTATTTTGCATTATTTTAATTTTTTGCAAATAGAACTTCTCCTTGGAGTAACTCAATTTTTGAAAATGAAAACCTCAGTCATTATTTTTGCAGACAAGAGAAGTTCTGTTAGCCTTAAAAAAAAATCTGTTTCTTAACATTTCTTGTATTTTATCTTAAAATACTGTGATCTGCTTATACTAGGTGTTATAGGAATCTTCTTTCTCTTTTTTTTTTTTTTTTTTTTAAATTCTTCCATCTGGGAATGACAGCAGTGGCTTTGCTGTTCACAGAGCATCTACTGAGTGTCTGTTGAGTGTTTTGCATATGTGCTCTCTAATTCTCAAGCCAAACCTGCAAGATAGCTGTGTCTTTATTTTCAGATGAGGAAGCCAGCCCAGAGTCCAAGTCATTTAGCCAGTAAATGGCTAAACCAGAATTCTTACTCTTCTGCCCATCGAGCATGCCCTGGAATCGGATAGAATTCCTCCTTTATATTTATTGTATTTACTTATTATTGATTGGTCTCTTTTTCTTTTCAAGATTTGTGCTAGTCATGTGCTATTAAAATAATAATGGTACCACATGTAAGAGTGTTTAAAAATTCAAACAGTATAAGAATAAAGTTAAAAAAAAGTCTCCACACTTATTCCTCTTCTTCCTCAGTCCACTGTTAACAGGGGTTAATAGTTTGGTCTTTGTTCTTCCAGGCTTTCTATTTAGGCCATTATCATTTCTCTCCACCTCAGTGAGGACCCAGGTGGAGAGAGGTGACATGGGCTGCCTTGGGGGGATCAGGTACCTTGGCCAGACTCAGCATAGTGGTCAGTCTTCATTGCAATACGTTTTCTGCCACTTACTTACTGGCTCTCGCATTGCGTCTTATCAGAGTTCACAGCAGGTAGGCTTGTTATTTTAAATTTTGTAATTATTGTATTTCTTTTTCAAAAGACAGTCTCAGCTTGATACAGTGAATTTAATATTTGATTTTTGTCAGTGTTTAGTGGTTAAATTGCCTAGTCATTGAAGCACATCAACAGATGTACTTTTCCAGGTTATATCCGTGTCGCCTTATACCCTTCTTAGCCTCACTTGTCAATATTGCTGAATTTGTAGAAAACAATCGTTTTGATTTTGGAGAAAAGGGGAAAGTGTTTTGTTTTGTTCCATGCTTTTCTATTTCAGCCTTTTGTGGACGCGCTCATTTAGAACTATTTTATTTCCCACTCCTCAGAGTTTTTGGCTATTCTTTTATTCCCATACTTTAGACTCTGGTTTCCGACTTTGGCCATATTT